GATGTGCCGGTTTGTAATCTCGCGATCGTATGCAGCACTCGTAAACGCTTCGCGTGTTGCCCGCGTTTTTACGTTTACGATACATCGATAATAAAGTTAGAGAACGTACGAAGAGGGACTGGCCTCTCAAAATGTTCCAACATTTCTTTCACCGGGTAATGCTGTCGTAAAAAAATATTACTCGTAACAAACGGGCAGCATAGAAGAGCGTTTTAAAATTCAGGATAGAGTTAAGCATAGCGATATAACAGGATATTTTAATTGAGAAAAAGGAAACAAAGTAATCGACCGAGCTCGTATTAGTTTTATGGAAAATAAATGCAGTTTCCATCAGGCCCGTACGTTTACGAGCGTGTTTCGAGAGAAATAGAGCAGAGCGGTATAGAAGGCAGGGTCAAAATACGATAACATAAAGGAGATATTGGTTGGCTCTTGTTCGTATACACGATGTTACTTCGGTTCAGGATTAGATCGGGTTACCGCGATGTGAACTGTACCGGTGCACGTTTTCGCGGTAAGAACTTGAAATATAGGTTATATGCATCGTGGCTCCGTGTCCCTTGAGGTTATACGCTATAATTCATCGTAGTACGGTCGCTGGAACTGGCAAAAAACCCTCGTGAAAACGTGAGTCGAGCGACATGCTTCCTCGTCTTGGTCGGCCATTTTGATTCACGTGACGTACAGCGCGTCGCTGTACTCGCTTCGATTATCTTTGCTATTTACTCTCATTTTGATTACATTTATACGTTTCGCTAGCGACAAGAAACGAGTTGAACATCAATGAAACATTTTATGAAAATTTCATTCGAGTGAAACGAGTTTCCGCGAAATTTCATAGATAAAAATTGAGCAAATGCAAGCTGGTTCTGTGAGAGAGTACGCAACGGATGAGTGAAAAATGGAACGAGTTAAAGGACCGGTCGCAATAAAGGAAGAAAAATGGCAGGAGATAGGGGAAGGATATGGTAATACTTTAGAAGAAGAGGCTCTTCTGCTGTTTCCGGGTCTACATACGGCTGCCTTGATTCCGGAAGTTCGTCAGAAGGTTAACGGTTTTGTTTGCTTCCGCCGGATGATCGAGTAGCGCTCGAGTTTGAAGAGGAAAATAGATGAACACGAGTTAATTAAGAGAGAAACTTTGTCGAAGTGAAAAGTGTGCGAGATCCTTTAATTCGTTTCGTCTTAATGATAGAATTGGTTGTATATTTAAAGAAAGAGCTGTAGCTAGGATCGCGTTTATTTTCGGGGCTCGACGTCTAGAGGGAAAGTGGAAATTAAAGCGACAGGAGAAAGGAAAAGACGTAGAGGTCGACGAAGGTAAAGCCTGGGAAGCTGAGGTGGATAGGATGGTTGGAGGGTAGTCTGGACCCTCGACTAGACTCATTTTTCATAAGTTCGAAAAACACACCCGGGGCAGTCGGTGCGTAAATTTGAATTTCTTCGTGGCTGCGGCAAGACGCCTAGACTGTTCCTCGAGGGATGACGGAGGGAAGAGGAAGTCTGGAGGAGCCATTGAGCATGTGGCGCGGAATTTTGAACGTCTCCCCCTGAACATAGTTGGCTCATAAAAACACCCTATCTTCTTGTCATCGAACACGCTAGCCATCCTCGATAAATTATTGCAAGTTTTATTAGAAAAAAGAGAAACGTTAAAAAATATTTTATACAACTAAAAGAAGAAATGCAATATTTTCCAAATTACGCGACGATTCGTTGAAACGTTGAATACACGATATTTTTCCCGTGGCGTTTATTCGAGGCTCGTCCATGCAATTATACAGAAATTGAAGGATGTAATTACCAGGCTGGCGAATTATTAGATTAAATTAATCGTTGATTAAAGCACGAGTTACGGACGGTCGTTTAATATTGATTTCGTGGTACGCTTAACACGGATTTAGGGTTGAAAGGACAAGTAATTGGTGTACGAACGTTCATTTCGCTATACGTGACTTGTTCTATTTATAGACTCGTCAACGTCCGATCAAATTATACGGAGGAATATCATTTTTAATATTGAAGCTATTTATTTATTCATCGAATATGGCTAAATATATGATCACGTGAAAACTGGAAACGATAGAAAATTCTGTAAAATATTTACTGTTTATTCCGTCGAAACGATTCGTTTCCGGTAGACGGTTTCTTTAGTATTTTTAATCCTTGAATTTAATTGAAATTTACAACACTACCGTACGCGACGATCGTATGTTGGATGTCGTCTGCGAATTGAAGGGAAACGAGGGGAAAAAGAAAAATAGAAAAGTCTGGTTGTCGATGACCAGGAAGATAAACGATAGACAGAAGTTGTTGGTGCGTGAAGTTTCTCGCAATAGGTATATCAGGCCGTTTTGTCTAGACAGGCTCAAACTGGTCGGTTGTATGTAGGATGTAGGATAGAACAACAACGACAGGAAACCGTCTCGATAACACCGCAACTCGATCTCGAGCGTTACCGTGGCCGTGTTAGCCTGCATTTCCTGCTGTCTCTTCGTGCACATCGAGCCGTACAGGTACGCTGTCGATGTCGATGTCGATGTCGATACACGTGCACAAGGATGAACGTGTCCTGGCGAGGAGAGAACGCATTCGTCATTGTTTTACCGGTTGAAGCGAGATGGGGTGGCACGGTTCGCCTGTCTACCACCGCAATTCCCCGAACGGAGCCACAGCTACAAGCCTGCCATAATCGAACTCGAAGCTCTGTCGTTTTCGAAAACGGCGAATTATTGGCCCCGTTTAGAACCCGTTCAACCAGCCCCACTCTCCAAGGAACATTGTTGTCTGTCCTGGATGATCGAGGATAATGCTCTTCGAATATGTTCCAACGCGTTATTCGCGCATTGCTGATAGAATTCTAGCTATTGTGGGATTTAATTGAGCATTGCCGATAATCTCCAATTTACATTCTTCCTTTCTCATTTCTTTCCCAGCTAATTTAACGAGTCCAAGACCATTTCTACAGACCTATTATTTTTCGGCCTTCTCGTAAAAAATCGGCGAACCCGATCGTGCGGATTGATTCGAGCGATTTCGACCTTGGCAAAGGCGAGTGCCATTCCAGCTTACTGAACTTTCCACAAGGTTGAAGGTCAACTGGCTCTGGAAAATTGCGACGACGAGAAGTACGACAAGTTTCTCGAATGAAATGGCTTAGCAGATGAAAGGAGGCCGTCGTCGTCGAATGAAAGGGTTGCCACGGAAAATAGGAAGCCGGTTGTTCGTGGAGGGTGGAAAAAGGTATGGAATCTGTACGACAAGGGGACGTAAGTGACAAGTTGAGGGATTGCCGCGCCTACGCGGTTGCATTCTACGCAATCATCCTCGACCAACTTTCTTCGTCCTCGCAATTTTCAACGTTTTCGAATCTACCTTGCTTTCTCACAACTCTAAGGCTCTGCCTATCTTTTCGTCGACGTCTTTCAAGCAGATGAAATTTTTCATGATCTCCAAAATTTCACACGTTTTCAATCACCTAATTAAGAGCACATTTGGATCGTTAATAAAGTTGTTTACGAAATGTACAGTAATTTCTGAGAAATTTAATAAAATCATTATCCTCCCTACTTTTGTTATCTCGCCAATCGGACACAAAGCATTAACAAATTGACATTGGACCGTACGATAACAATTTTAATCTACGGGCATCGTTTTCAAACACGAACCGGCCGAAATGTTCATTTCGATCATTTGCATTTGCCTCTGCAAACGTGAACGTCAAACGATTCGATATTTCAGGAATCTTTCAGTCTCGTCGAATGTTCATTTATCAACCGGTCCGTGTTGCAATTTCCCTGAAATTAAAATGAATTCACTGGAGCCGTGTGCATCGACAAAGAATTGTTCAGGCTCGGTTAATTAGCGAGCCGTTAACTGCATCCACCCTCTGGTACGATGCGAAAACATTCATTTCCGGTGGATAATTTCCACCGTCTCGTAACTTGCTCGCTAATCGTCGATACGTGCTCCAACAGTTTATTATAATCAGGATTATACGTTTCGATGTCTGGTCGCGATGCCGCGATCGGCCAAGTATTTATATACCGACGATCTTGTCGAGAATTAATCTGGGACGAGATTTATGGAACTGATTTATGCGCATACTAAGCGCATTATAATGTCGGCCGACCGGTGATAATCCCTCGGTACTTAGCGCGTCATTTTCCTGCTTGAAAATAATTTCGCTGCCCTCGCGAAATTGCTCGTATTGTGTCTCCTCGGTACAGTCAAAGAATTAACTAGGAAGGAAAGAAAGAAACTTTTATATTTCCTCGAAACAATTCGCGAAAAAGATTAAGAATAAACATTGAATTGGAGGAACGAAATTCTGTGTTCAACGTGTTCACCGCACACACCTTCAGATTCTATACATGCTTCTTACGCACTATTGACGTTTATTAGGTCGAAGGGAGAACGATTTCGTCTTATAGCTTTATCGAGATTGGAACAGCCCTAAGGTGGATGGAGAAACAAACCTGCCACGACACAATTGTTTTCCTTTAATTTACTTCTGGTTTCTCTCTATCAACGAAACTGGTCAGCCACGTCGATCGTGTTTCACCTGACTGACCGATCGAAGACAAGGAGGAAAAAGGAATCCTTCTTTCGTATTTTTCCAATTACCTTCTAGCCTCTTCCGGATTTTTGTCCGACAGTTTCTCTTCCATCCATCTCTTCCCGGGAAAAATCATGATATTTTCATTGGCACGCTGCCAATAAAATCCCAATAGGAATGGAAAAACTTGGAGCGGAGTTAACTTTGAACAATTAGTAATCGGTCGACATGAATAATTGCGAAACAACCTCGAAACCGTTTAGTATGTACCGTGAAGTAAGAGGTTTCATGGTACGAATAGCGAGCGAGCGTTTAAGAGTCATCCTTCTAACTTTGAATTCGCGACGTTTTGACAGTCCACGAGACGTTTAATTAATTACATAGCCTCTGTTGCGCGATACCTCGTTTCTTACTTCCACGTTACACGTATAATCGTACTCACGCGCACAGAAAGGCCGTGTTCCAATGAGCGATATCAGCACTGTTTCTACCTCTATTTCTTATTTGATGTTGCCGTTCCCGATTCTGTTCGTTTACTGAGCAAAACACGCTAGGCGAAGGCTGCTTCAGTTTACGTTTACGGCTACACAATCGGAAGCATTGCGAGTGATTGTTTCGAAAACAGTTGCGTTCGATCGGCATCGAAAACATGTTTTTCAGTTAGATGATCTTGAAATCGGTCACTGTATATGCAACAAATTGCTATTAAAGATAAGTGGACGGAAAAAGTTGAGAGCATTTGCATGCAGCTATGAGCAGAAGCTCGGAGTAATTTATTAAGCACGCTTGCTAATCGAGTGCTGGTGCACTCGAGTGACTTTCAAAGTCGCCGCGCAGCCCTTGTTCCAAGAATAAATGGATAATTGATCGTTGACAACAGGGCAAAAGGGGAAAACAACGCGCGTGTATCTATTAAATGTTTCTTTTTATATCTGCGTAGACCTACATCGTAGAAGGCAAATAGTATAATGCACAATCATTTCGCTGATTCGGGAAATCAACGGCAACTTTAAGATAGGAACAGATTCAGGCTCAGGATGAAGTGACGCGAGCTTCTCTCGCGAAGCTTTGCCGACGAAGAATGCTGGAAGAGAATGCCGCGGGCGTCGAAAAGGAACGGGCGAAGCGTGGCACGAAATTTGCAAGCAAATTGCCAATTCTCAGGTGGCGTACAGATAGGAAGGGCGCATAGATTCACGCGGAGGACAGTAGGTGGGAACCGCACCTGCGGCTGGATACCCAAGGGCCATCTCCTGACGGTCGGCGACCGACGGTCCATAGGCCAAAACGAGTTTCGCGAATTGCCACCACCAACGGGAATGTCCATCAGGGAACATCCTGGCTGTCTAGAAAATTTTCCTCTATCTCTAATCCACCGCTACTTGAAATTTTCATCTCTCTCTATAAATTAGACCAATTTATTTTCCACCGGCTTAATTAAATCCTCAGTTTTCCTACTCTCTTCGTATTATCAAATATGCTGAATTGACATATGCTTTGCTTTCTTTCGTACAAAATGTGTAAAAAAAGGAGACACTTATTTTCCGCTGAAAATGACGTTTGGATAATTGCATCGCGGTGCAATCGTATCATTTGTATACGACGCCGAAGATTTCGCAGTGAAATCGACGTAAAATCCTCTTTCGCGATCCTTGAAAGGATCGTGCGAGCGTCTGAGCAAGAGGAGAGGTCTCGTAAGCCGTAAGAGTTCGAAGAAATGCAGGAAGAAAAAGAAGGAAGGTAGAAGAGGGTGAAAGAGCCTTCTGCTGACGTCGCTGGCAATCCCTGCGTTCGTCCAACCGAGCTTGCAGTTGCACATCTTGCAGTTTCGCTTTTTTCCACTTCCTTTCGCTCGTATGCTGGAACGCAGCGAGTTTTCTTCTCCTTCATCCCTTTTTACCCTTCTACTTCCCCTTTGTACATTTATTTTTTTTTTATCTACCCTAACGTTTCTATCTATACGTCTACTTCGTAAAATTTAGAACGGTTTCGAATAAATATGCCTGAAAATTTCGAAAGGCTGCGGCAGTTGAGTATTTAGATAGTTAGGGGTGGTTTTTATCATCTTACGCTCGTATCAGAACGCTGGGGTGCTTCCGCGTCGATTTTCCAAGCCCCGTCTCGTTCCTTCTCGTTCTCACCCTCGCATATTGATTACATAAGCGACCGAATATACTACCCTCGCTAAAAACATCCCTTTAACGCGCACCACGACACCTACCGCAACCATCCCCGTGAACAGCGTGTCATAGATAAACGAGAAGAGTCGTCGGCTGGTGTTAGAAGGGTCGGCGGTGTGTATTAACAGCCCCGCAGGATGATTTTCGGCCCGCGGGCCAAGCAGGGAGTTCACTTTGCGAATTTTACGCAACGTCAGTTTACCAACAATCTTATTCTCGAACGAAAGCTCCGCTCGCACGCAAATAATGGAACACAGCTTGTTTAATTAACGCGGTTCCTGCGCCAGAATTGGCTTCATTTACCAACAACGAATATAGAGTGCAATGGAATCGTCTCGGTGGATTTATTTTTTTTTTTTATTAACACACGAGAGATGCTTGACTAGCTTTTATTATGCGGAATAAATGGGACACTTAGTGTCTTTGAGATTTTTGTTTACTCATTTTCTGCTCCGGATGAGAGTCGATCAAATATGAACGAGAGTTTTATAGCAGAATAGTTAAACACGAGTTGATTTAGCTTTTTAGAGTGTTTAGAGAATCTATCCATCTAGACTCGCTGGCCGTTGATGATAGTAGTAGTTTATTTAAAGTATCCCACCTGGGATTATGTAAGCCTTTCACTCTTATATCGTTTTAAAATGGAGAAGGATTGGTGTTGTTGAAGGTTATCGTATCAGTGATCGTGTATCCCGTTTGCATTCGGTGTTTGCCGTAACAGAGAAGAAAAGAACGCGGTAAATTTACCAGAGAATTTCATTAGTGGCCGCGTTTAGTTTACTAGACCGTGAACGGAAGAAGCTTGTTGTAGAGCACATGCAAAATTTTATTAGCGAACTGCGCGAAATATATCCAATGCAGGTTGGTTGGATAACCCGGAAAATTGCTGTACGTAATTGCTGTCTAACGTTAAAATTAAGGTACTGTCGGATGAATAGTTTGACACAATTATAACTTTTCCACCGAGAGAGGGGGAATCGCGTGGCATACCATTCTACCGCGGAAACCACATCCATTGAACGAAAATTTAATACGTTTTGTTGTTTCTCTCTTCTCTCATCTCTCATTAACCCCTTCACTGCTATCGGTAGCATCAAACGTGGAAAATTCACTCTACCATCTATCGTCGTTCGAAATCTGTCGTTAATTACAATTACCAGTCCCAATAAAAGAAAGAGATAGTTAGATTAATTTCATTCTTGTTTCCGTATTGAAGAGGAACCGGAAGAACGCTGATCGTGCGTCTGGCAGAAGGGAAGGTAAACGTTCGTTGTTGAAGAGAGAGAAAAACGAACGAGCAAAGACGAAGAAAAGAACGGGGCCAAGCAAGTACACAAAGTAGACTGAGGGAGGGTTGTTATTTGTTCTAGGGGGGTATAGTTGTCCGGCATATAGAGAGATAAGAGGAAGAATGATGTACAAACACGTGACATGTATAGCCATCACGTTGAATAGAGCACGCGAGTCGAATACCGAAAACAATGTTGAATAACGTGAAAGACAAATAGAACTCCTAGTCGATTCTGTACACGAGCTACGCTATATTTGCGATTTATTCAAAGTCCTCGCAAACCTTCTCTCTTTTTCTCCCTCACCAGCCGCTATTTATACTTTTCTCTCGCGATCAGACGATCTTTCGGTGCCGTTCGACACGACGTGAAATATACGAAAAGAGAAAAGTATGTTTCGTCGCTTGGTACCCCGTTACGAACGAAAGCTTGTTTAACAAAATATTAAATTCTGACAATTAAGAGAACAAAGCCACTGGTACGCGTCATCGTTGATACACGAAACAATTCACGAACTACGTTTCTTTGTTGAAACAGAGAAATTAAATCTGCGAAAACACGCGGCTCTAGTGGCATCTACGAATATAAATAACTTGATGCAATTAATGCGCTCTGTTCGTGATCCTCAATGCACTTATCCTCTTAAAAAGAACGACAGAGGCTTCGTTGAAGATTTTTCAGCCATCGCGCTAATTCTGTTGCACTCGTATTTCTTTGAAGCTACCGTTTCATTATTTATTCATATATTCGTTTATACCAGGCGAATTCTTTTATGTTTACAGTAATTCGTTATAACAGTGACACGGGCAAGGGATAAGTTTAGTGAAAAATATAATGAAATTCTTCGATTCTAGGGTGTTTCCATCGGACGCCGCGCGCGATTCCGTGTTTGAACACGGAAATAAGTAGTACGTATCAATGGCTAGTCGAACGAGATTGTGCGCGATCGATATTCAAATTGAAATTGTTCCGGGCATTGTCGTTGATTCGAGTACATTCGTTTCGTTATTCATATGGAAATGGGGGAATCGTAATTTTCCCATGGAAAAAGGAAGAAAATAAACGAGTCTCGGTGGGTATCGGTGCCAGAAGCCGGAGGTTAAAGGTTGGAAAACGTGTCTGGTCGGTTGCCGAAACTCGCGCATAAATTTCAATTCGAGCGTCGAACGTTGAAACGTGGATCATCGGTGGGCCAGGCGTAATTGAAATTAATTTACAATCGATACCGAGCCACGTGACCGGATCCAAAAGGTCTGCCAACAACGATATCGTAATGCACCAGGAGAAATCTGTTTCTATCTGTTGAGAAACGGCCCGAGGCAGACGAGAGGCGTATTCGTTCGACTCACGAACGTCGAATAAACGCGAAAATTATTTTCTGGGTCAGAAAGGTGTTCCTGACGTTCGTGCGCCAACTAAAATGCCTGTTATATTCTGCTGCTGCGAAAGAAGTCTTAAATTTCACTAGAAAATGATTTGTAAAATCGTGATCAATCCGTTTCGTGATATATTCGTGGGTTACTTTGAAATTAATACTACCAACATGAGTAAACAAGTTACTCGAGTTGACACAACAAGCCGAGTAGCTTCTTGACACCGTTTTCCGCGTCGCAAGCGAAACCAGCGTTTCTTTGAGGAGCGCAAAGAAGAAGGAAAAGTAAACGAGAATTAGAAGTATGTTTACACGCGACATTTGATGCCACGATACCAAGTGTCAGGACTTTGCTGTCGTCAAAGCTAAAAGTCGCGGCAACCATGGCACTGGGCTTGGTGTCACGTGAAAACATGCCTTAAAGTCGCGAAGAAAATAATTTCTACGTCAAAGGGTAGTTCTGCGGGTTATCACGGTGGATCGATCACGGAGCCACCTTATATAACATCGAAAGGGAAGGGAGGAGAGGGTGAAAGGCCTCCTTTCAGTAAACGTTGCTAGGGTTAGGATTCGCGTCTTTGAACTTGACACGGGTCACCTGACTCTGCGGCTTCAGCCTCTTCTTCGGATCCTTCCTCCTTCTGTCCTTCTTCCCATCATCCTAAACCCACCCCCAATCCCGTTTTCACCCTTGTTTTCCTCTCTTTTCACCAGCAGCTACCAACGTTTCTCCTTCTTTGTGAACCAAGTTTCCTTTCGAAATCACGACGATGTGTTCAGTATCTGGGAAAATCAACGATTTAACAAGAATTGAAATTTCGAAATTGGATCGAAATCGATCGATTGTAGGGGAATCATGGAGAGAGGGAATATTGGTCGGCAGCGATTGGCCCGATGAATTTGGTGGGAACGTGGCTCGGTTGGCATCGGTCATTACACCTAATGGTTTAATATTCGCGATACAAAATTACGTAGGTGGCTATATTTGACAGAATCGGGTCGAAATGTTGGGCCGGGCAATAATAATCAAGCCGTCCCAAGCTCGATGTCGTTTAGCTGCACTCAGCTTTAATTACATCGCTTGTCATGCGTGTTTACCGCCGGAGATATGTGTATTTTGCCCTCTATAATGCATCCACGAACGTTCGTTCGTTCGTTCATTCGTTCGTGTGCTTTTGATTTACGAAACACCGAAATTCGTTGCCATTTCGTTTGTTTCTCGTTCAGTCGTTGACAAAATATGAACCCAAATGTCATTATAAATTTACACTGTCCAAACCATATTAAACTCCGTAATAATTAGTTAACACATCGACGAATTAATTTATCGGCTAACTTTCCATTCCCTTAACTATCCATTTCCAAAGAAGCCTTTGTTACGCTCTATAAAAAGAAATTTTGTCGTTTTCTTTTAATAAGATTGATATTTTACTTTCGTGATTACAATTCGAAGGGTGATGAGGAAGCTTCGTTGAAAGTTTCACAAGTAAAAAGAGAAAAGACGGAAGGAAGAAGAAGAAGAACAATGTTCGTTTAAAAATTATAATATTAAATGGCATTCATTCGCAGCGAAATATTCTCCATTATCGTGGCGCGTAACAATCCATTAACTCGGAAAATAAGAGCGGATGACAAAGCTTTTCTTTTATCGGGGAGAGAGAAATTACCGAGCGAGGTGCCACCCTTCGTTCTCCTCTCGGTTGGTTACAAAAAAAAAAAAAAAGGAGGGAAGAGCAGCAGGATGAAAAAAAAAGAAAAAGGAAGAGGCAAAAAAGTATAAGGAAAAGGTGAAAGAAAGCGAGAGAATAAAGAAGCTTGACGTGGAAGGCTAAGCGAAAATATTGCACTCGTTCGGGCAGAATCAAAGAGGAGAAAATCAAACCGTAGTCCACGGTGGGAAGTTAATGCGAATTAAAATCCAATTCCGCCGACGAGGGAACCCATTTCCAAACGTTGTGTCTTCGTAGCTGCTGGGGAGGAATGAAAAAAAAATAAAAAAAAAAAAAAAACAGCAAGTTCGTATTGCTGAGTGGCAACCGAGGGAGAGGGAGAGTTTAGAGAACGAATTTACACGGAGCAAAGGAAAAATGTTTCGCGCGGTGGGTATAAATATTTAATAAACACGCGCGCATTCAACGACGATAAAATATTCTCGTCCGTGTCCCATAAATATTTTTATACGCCTTTATTCCGTGCAAAGTGTTTTTCGGATTTTCGCGAATACCATTGCCCCTCGCTTTCAGAATTCGTCTTCACTTATCCCTTGTTCCTGACCCTTGCCTTCGCGCTACCTTTTTATAAAGATAGACTCTTTTGTGAAAAAATATGCTACCTAGACAAACACTATTAAACTAATCAAAAGCGAACCTTCCACGGAAACAAAATTATTTTCGCACGAACAAACACGCGAGTCACTGTAAATGGCAAGAAAACGCTGAAACATTTTCATCCTCGATTTCAGCCTCGAAACACAGCAACATTTTTCCAGAAAGGAATAAAATGTATCTTCAAAAGTTTACCCAGGTAACTGGATATCTTTACAATGAAAATGTCGAAAAAGAAAGGAAGAGAGATAGAAGAAGAGAAAAAAGGAGGAGAAAGAGTTAATGCCGTTCGGAAACAGACGAAACTTTGCTCGACGTTGTACACACGGAAAAATATCCTCCCGTTCAAGCAACAGAAACAGAAACAGCAACAGCAACAGCAGAAAGCGTCGTCTCCAGTTGGAAAGGCAGTCCACGCCCCCCCTTTTCACTGCCGAAAGTTATTTCCGCTGGAAATTTATCGCTCTGCCGAGAATCGAGGCGTCATTTCCGGGCGAATGAAACAAAGAAAGCATTCGAGCCTCGAGTCGAGCAAAAGATAATTGGCGTTCCGTTCTATCGTGTCCTTTTTCTGCTACAGCACCCCTGTGCCGCCGTGCGCCGCCACCCCTGCAGATTTCTTCTTTCCGGAAGAGAACTGTAGCCGGGACCGTTAGCTGACGATTGTTAAATGTACCTACTACGCTTTCCACTGATTTATTCCCGTTGGGTTTTCGAAGGAGAGAGAAACCTGGATATTTATCGTCCCCTTCCGACGCTGCGGTAAATAATGTGTTTGCTCTTTAACACGATTTATTTGGGGGCCAGCCATGTAACGGCGTTGTATAACGTATTGTGGTTTTCCCGAGACGTATCGTGTTCGGGCAAAAGAAAAACTGTATACGTATAACCTGCTACGTCTACCGATCTACAAAAGGAAAGATAGATACCTTTCGAATTAACTAATTGTAAGATATTTACTCCCTTCTGATTCCCTAAAGGGAAATGGTGAGATGTAGAGGGAAAAAAAAGGAATTAAAAAATATATTGAAAGGGATGAGCAAGATAGCACGAACTTTTACGATGACCTAATATTTTCCTGATCGTTAAAGTGTTAATTTTGTTCCGATCGTGCTGCCGTACCGTTCCAATTTTACGATACCGCGCGTGCGAATAAATACTCGTACCGGAAACCGGGCCAAATATCCATCAGACGTCGAATTACAGGTTCGTGTTCAAGAGCCCTTCGACAGCTTCCACGGCAAAAGTTGCCGGAACAATTAAATTTAATTGACGGTCTCTTGGCGCGCGAATCGCGTGTCGATGCTGTTTTCGACGAAAAAAAACAAAAAAAAAAAAAAAAAAAAAACGGAAACGGACGCGTTATCTGTACCGTGAATCGAGTACGTACGCCCTTCTCGACATGAAATTTCAAACTCTTCAACTAAATCGATCGATCTTCCAGAATTATTACTTTTGCTCGGCGAGGGAGAGAAAAAAATGTTCATACGGAAAATCGTTCACTTTTCGCGGGTGCAATCTCGTTTCTTCTTCACGAATCGTTGAAAATTTAATTACACGATATTGGCTTTCCACCAGAATACTCTCCGCGACGATGTCCGAAGCATAGAGCAACGTGGAATGAAATTTTGCGAACCACAGACTGACCGCAATTTGTATTCAGGCAATAACGAAACAGGTATCTCGAAAGAGTCGAAATACTGACTATTAGCACGGCACTGCTAACGCACCAAGTAATTTTAATTTCATCTCCCTCGAATTAAAACGAAAATAAAAACAGACGTGAAATGTGCTGGCTCGAAAAGCGATCGTTTAAACGTTGATATTAAAAAATTAACCGGAAAGTATAATATTAATATCGAATAAAATGCTGGTTAATCGAAAGTGGTATTGAATTACCGTTGAAAATTCTACGGTTATAATTATTAGTTCTGCATCGAGCGAGAGGGTGTATTAAATGGCTGGGCATTCTCTACGACACGAACGTAACAAAGCTCGCTGAAATTGAAGGAAAAGTAGAAAGTTACAGCACAACCACTCATCGAACTTTGCTACTTTGCCATTGAAATTCGTGGCCCGGCAGCAATTCCGCAATACATTGTCGAAAGTTTCGCTCGACGAACGTAATTAACGATCGTCGAAATTCACGATTTGTTCGGCCCGATCGAAACACAAAGAGGTGAAAGAGGAGAACGAGGGGGAATTGGCTGAGCAATAGGTCCCGGCCTTCTCAGAGATCCTCGCCCTTATTCCTGTTCCCTTTTGGCGAGGACCTTCGTATCGAGAATCGCCTAACGAGTCGGAAAAATCGAGTCTCCTTTGGCTGTTCGAGCTGAGCTTTTTCGCCCAGCCGACGTAATACATGTCTAATTAACCATAAAAATAACGAGATTTTAGCGGGCAACTTTATCGAGACGAGCATCGAAATTGATTTCCCGATCGTGTCACGCAGAGCAAGAAGAAAGAACCTTTTCATGGACGAACAAACTCCTTTTTACGCTTTAACTTTGTTTCTACGTTAACCAAAGTCTTCTCACAAATACGATGTAAAGTAACTTTTACTTCGGAAACTTTTCTTTTATCAATTAATCTCGTTAGTTCGAAATTCTCAACGTAAATTCTCGGACAGATTCAAAGGGTGAAAAGAATTTTTCGTGGTGCTCGCGGTGTTTGTTTAGCATCTTGGATTCTTGCCCATCTTTCGGTCGCCTCATTAAGCTCGAAAATAATCCCGTGGCGAGTAGCAGTGTCGAAACAACGAGAAGAGAAGAGAGAGAAGAGAGAGAAAGATAGGATTGTGTCGCGAAGCTTGGGCAAGCAGAGGAAGAAGAAGCGACTGGCCCGAGGGTGCGACGTCAGATTTGTCTCGTTAGGGTTCGCATTGTGCCTGCCTATTGCCGATTTACGCTCTCTCGTTATAGTCATCCGTTCTCCTCCTCTCCATCCATTGGCAAATCCTTGGCCATCTAACGAGCTTTCATTAAAATCACAATGCCATTTCCAATACTCTTCTGATTTTTCTCTCGATTCGATATCACGTAAGGGGATGCGTATGGGTCTTTAAGTAAATTAACTTGAATATTTCCCAGCACGATTTTCTCTTTCCAACTTTCTGAAGCAAGTATTTTCTTGAAATTTCAGCAAGTTCCCCAGAGCCGCGTACGTGCCCGTACCTGGGTAAATTCACGGTAACCGGTGTGAACCGTAACCAGAGGAACATCCGTGAAAGTCGCAGGAACCAACACCAGGAGGCAGTGAGACGTGACAAAGAAAAAGTTCGACACGCCCAGGAGCGTAGTCAGGAGGATCGACGAGGCCGGAAGCTCGACTTCGACGCGGAGAAACGACGCGCGAACAACGAGTATTTGGTCCACGAGCGAATGGGAAGACGGGCCAGGTCGAATCGCAACAACAGAAGTCATCGAGATCACAGCATCGAGGAGGAATCCTCGAAACGCAGTTCGGACATCGAGGATCTCCTACTGGAGCGTTCTTGGTCAAAAGTGAGAAGATCGGACGTGCAACGAACGTCCGAGCTTGCGACCAGGTCGAAAGTTAGAAGAACGCGCGACCTCGAGACCAGAACGAGAGAAAAATCGAAAAGAAATCCGAAAATCGAGGATTTCCGATTGGACGCGGACGATTTCGCGCGAACCGGGCAATTTTGGACGAGCGATTTCGACGACTCCGATGACTCGAGCATCATAAACGTTCAAATTGATTATTTCGGTGATTACCCGGACACCGGGGACCTGCCGAAAAAGAGGTCGGACAGGAACCCGGAGGAAATAACGTACGAGCTTCTGAGCAGGACAAGGAGGGACGCCGAGGAGTTGGATGCTGTGGATGGTTCTTTTGAAAAGAGAGAGAAGAGGGAGGAGGATATTTCTAGATGCAGCTCCGAAGTCACTACCATTACCATTGGTTGCTCTACTGCGGATAGAATGGAATTCCAGACGGACTGCGTCGAGGATAATGCGATTGGTGAGTGAAGTCTCGAGGAAAGTATTTCAGAATTTTTTTCTACCGAACGGGCTTAAACCTTGGGTATTCAATGTACGTTGTTATTAGAAGATGTAATAATTCAAGCGATTACCCTAGCGCCGTCATTCGAGGGTTCAAATCCATTCTGAATTATCAAGAGCAGCAAGTCTCGAGACTCGTCGATAATTAAAATCCCATTAACGGTAGAGCGTCGTTCAGTGTATAGGGTGTCTCACGATAAAAACGGAAAAATCTACAATCTTTCCAGATTAAGATATTCTGAGAAATCAAAGCCTCTGTATAAGAAAAGTAAATGATAATTTCAGAATGATACGTCTGACTGAGAGACACCCTGTACATCGGGTTGATCGTTGCAGCACTCGAGCTTTTATTTCACCGGCATTCAGCCCCGGAGCTTGTCAAAGTTTATTTAAAGGATAATGGCACTCGAGGGGGTATACCTCCCAGCATTATCCTGAAAGTTCGTTCCCTTCGAGATCGGGTAAGGAGCAGAACCGCTTTCTCTTTCGCAGCTTACTCCTGCCACGGTAGATGGTTCGACGCGGAGGGCACCCAGTTCGTAATCGCCACCCAACTAGCGCCAGGAACCACCTGGACCAACGAGAACAACAGACCTCAACCCTACAGGAACAGCCGTAGATTGTGCTTCATGTACAAAGAAAGCGGTGGAGTTGTCAGTTTGACTGCCAGCGAGGTGGCCTGTCAAAGGGGAATACCTCCACCTCCGCCAATGTTGGCCTTCAACGCTACCAGCACCGGTGAGTATCTCGTCTTCTACCTCTTCTTCCTTCTCAACCATTTCTCGAGTATCCTTACACCGTATTCGGTACGAGAACCTAACAATTTTTCTCTTCTTCCTTCCAACACTTTGGTCAGACATTTCTACCACGTTGTCAAAGGAATTACCTTTTTATTTCTATGACAAAGATGGTATCGTTGTTGTTTCAGGTCAATGCATGGAAGAGAACAGGGGCTTTGTTGTTCGATCGACGTACCTGATGATCGTCATCCTGACGGCGGTCGTCGCGATATACAGGTGATTCTAATCGAACGGAACGATCTCGCGACCGTTAAACCAACCTTTGTAATCTACTTTACTGGACACCGTGCTTGGGTGACGAAACAAGGTGGTGGTACACGTGTATAAAAAAAAAAAAAAAAGTATATATATACAATCGCCTTGGTCGCGAGTCACCGAAGATGATCGGTCGAGGGTGCGGGCCAGAAGGGAAGAAGAAGAAGAAGAAGAAGAAGAAGAAAAAAAGTAAAATCGATTCCTTGGCTTCGAACGCTCGTGTCCGTAGCTCTTGCTAGCCTCTCTGATCCGTCGGCTGAACAAGAAGACAACGACAATGTTGAAGAAACAAAGGAACCGTCTCGTCGGGATTGGCGTTCCTTCTAGAGGACAGGTGATACACTGTGATTTCGATTCGACACCCCCTAGAACAGCAACTCCATTCGTCTGTAATAAAACGACAAACGAACGAAACTCTTGATTCCTTCCGTATAAGAGACAGAAGAAGAATAAGAGGATGGAAGGTCGTCGTCGGAGTATACGAACGAGATGAACGTTTTCTCGATAGATGGAAGAAAGGTTCGACTATCTGGAGATGGGATGCTGTTGAAAGGAAGTTGTACGGAAGTAGTACGGGGAACTGTTTGTTCCTGGACGAACCTCGAGGGTAGCGGGGGCTCGTGATTTGAGCGCGAATATCCCCTGGCCAGTAGGTTTTTTTACCGATGTAGCTCGTAGGCACTAGCTAATTAAAAATCAGGTAAAGCTAACGAAGTACATTACACAAATTTCCTTTGTTTCTTCATCGTTATTTTCTTTCTTCGTTTTTCTTTCACTTTTATCGTATGGTTATACCATATCACAATATCACGAAGCGAGATCGATCGGGCTCTCGCAACAGTTGAGTCTCGTTTTTAGTTAGTAAGACGATCGACCCGATATGCTGGTCGATATCTTTTAAGGTAGATACTACATAGGGAATAAGCTTTAATAAGGAGAAAGCGAGGAGAACGGTTTACACGGCAAATATTTTTTCCATTCGATTTTCTTTCTTTCCGTCGAGCACACCGTTCAACGAGTGTACCGTGTATTTTGTAAGCTGTAATTATAACGCTGTTTAGATAAAAAGCTCGGAAACAGAGATGGAGGACGAGACGTGCTCGAGGCCGTTCGAAACATCGGAAGAGGGACGTTGGTTAAAGTGCCATCGAGTTTTTCCCTCTACAAGCAATCCGTTGTTCGTCAACTTTCGGAAGAATTTTAACACTTTGGTTGCCGCGTCTCTTGGTACCTAAGTTCGAACGCTAATAAGCAGCCACAGTGGTAAAATGTTGAATCCACGAGCGAATAGATGCAGTTCGAAACGATTGGACGATAGCTCGACTCGCCAATGGGTTTTTCGGGCAATACAGAAACGCCCGGGGCGAAATTCAATTACCACGCGAAATATTAGCGAACGTATTAAAGGTTGATTGCTCTACAGCTGTTATGTAATAGCTACAAAGGGCTGTTAGCCGTGTTATAGCTGAATGTATGCCATAACTATTATATAATAGCTGTAATAGCCGCTGGCTGTTTTAATAGCCAACCGACGATAAGAGGTGAAGGAGAAAACATATTTCAAAGCTTTTCCCGGCTAGCAAAGCTTGCGTTATTTTTCTATCGTATACGATTACCAACAAAAGCAAAAAGAAAAAAAAAAGGATGAACAATAGCGTCACTGGTTCGTGATGTTTCGAGCGTTGGAAAAAAAAGCTTTTTGTAGTTTCAGTTTATTCCTGATACGAGGGTCATTCGGTAAATAAAGACCAGCACAAATAGCCTTAAAATGGTTCGCTTCGCGAATGTAACAATTTATACATTTTTTAATATAATCCAAACCAACGAAAAGTATACAGCGGTGCCTCGACCAAAATTAAACGCTCAAACTTTTAGAGGAATGAAATTAAATTGGACGAAAAATGTTATGTCCACAAAAAGCCAAATGTTTATTTTTTAGTTACCGAATGATCTTCGTACTAGTGAAAATTCATTGCCGAGTAAAACGTTCTTTGAGAGCGATCGCTAAGGTGAGACTAAAGGTGGATTTAAATTCTCAGATAATTCATGCAAACTAGTTTGTGTAAGTTCTGTACAAATTTGAATATCATTCACACATTCGAGTTTAAGTTGGTCCTATCTCATCTTGCTGTAGAAGTTTCTTCAAGAAAATTGAGAATCTGCAAATTAAAAGGAAAAATGATCTTTGTACGCGTTATCTAAGAGTTTAAATCCACCTTAACATTGACACCGGTTGTACACAGAGGAAGAAGTGTGTCAAAGTGTTAGAAAGATAATTCAATGCAATACAATCGACTCGCGTAGTAGAATTATTTGAAAGAGAGAAGTGGAACGAGAGGCACTAAGGAAGATTCGGGATCGCAACGAATAGTTTCATTATGATATCCGGAATAATTTGTTGCCACGATCGAAGATTACCCTACGAGTTATTTCGCGATCCTCGATTCGAAACGTTCTATCGATTGTCAGAGATTCTGCAAACGGTTGAATATTAATGCAAATATTTCTGGTATTTCAAGAACAATAAACCGGCCGTTTCAGCGATTCAATTAACTTCCGCCCAGGGAACGGACAACGATGGGCAATTTCAAACGGCTGCTAAATTTATTTTCATCGCCACTTCCAGGATATCGCTGTTCCTCGGACGCGTCCCGCTTTTAACAGTCTCCAAGCCCCGTTTATCGATTTCAATAAATGCCACCACGGTTTCACCGCGACGGGAAAATCAACTTGTGCTGATACGAATAACGTTGCGAGGAAATCAGGTGAAATTTTGTTGATACCTCTGCAAACCAATCATTTCTTTCAGACTTTAATGTTTTGAGAGGAGGGAAAAATATCGTGTACCCAAACGGCCGAGCCTGTAAAGTGTAAAATTGTAACTGTGATGGATTCTACGTGTCGTTGTAACAGAGTCACGTCGAACGTTTCCCTCTCCATTCAAACGTTCATCCTTCTTCTGTTCATTTAAGCGATACTGAATCTTCCTTATTATGATATTGGTCGTTTTCCTTTTTCTTTACCAAGTGTCGAAGAGGTCTTGAGGAAAGATTCCGTCGGAAGCGATTATTCAAGTACAGATTTATCGATGGGAACAGCAGCCAGTTGAGATAGAATATATTGAGAATATTGCGAGACAAATTGGCCACTTGTTTGACTGCTGGAGTAAAAGAACCGCACCGAATATTTTATTAAGAAGATTTGCTGGTATTACAAACGCCTCGTGAATGAAAATAAAATTCATTGTAATAAATGCGAAATGAATTGTTTATCAATTTTTAATCAATTTGCGAACCTTGCACAATGAACGCCGCAGCGAAAGGGTTAAAAGGCGTGTTCTGTGCGAAAGCGTTATCATTAAGGGAAGCTAAAGATTTATAGGTGCTTTCACGCTGTAATGCGTGTATAGTGTGAAAGCAATAATTACGATGGCGCCAGCAGGCGGTCGATTTGAAAGAAGCCTAATTTAATTGTCCAGACCGAAGGAACTTTTCTAAAGATCTTCGAGGCGCGCTAACGTAAGCAATAAACTCACGCAACGGCTCAACCGTGTACAATACACGAAGAATGTTGCGTGTCACGAATAAGCTGTTGTACCAGAGATGTTCTATTATATTGGTTTGTCCAATCGGGATTTTCGCGACAGCGTAGGAACGAAGAAAAAGAGAATGAAACCGAGGGAAGTAGATACGGACCGATCGATCGCGAGATAGAACGCTACGATATTATTGTAACTAATACAGAGTCTATATTATATTATTGTACAAGCGCATCTTTGTAATAATTAACCCGAACCGAGTGACCAGAGGAGCGGAGAAAAGGGGGAAGAAGAGCAATGAGGCACGCGATAGAAGAGTACGCAACAATAGACGACGATTAAACAATATGAAATAAGAAAAAAAGAAAAGACATTACGAGAGAAAAAAAAAAGGGAGAGAAAGAGTTCGAAGGCGAATAGAGAAGCGAAGCATAAAAGAAGCCAATCGCTATTTTAACACTTTTCCAATCGCGGTCAACGTAGTTTTTACGCCGTTACGCTTTCCTTCGTGTTCAGTTTACGACGCGGACGAGGATGGGCCTGTGTTCCTTGAAAATTCCGCTCGTAACGAAGAAAAATGCCCGTAGCCACAGATTCCTTTATCCCAAATCGATCCCCTTCTCTTCGTCAACGTTTTATCTTTCTGTTTTTCCCACCATCTCTATTTTTATACGTTCTCAAGATATCCCTTCAAGATCTAACGGTTCTAGCAAGAAAACTACTCCGAATGATATCTTTCGATATCGATCAGCTTTTGTACGCTGATAGATTATAATTTTGAATATTTACCTAGGCTTGACGAAGTCGAAGAATTGAAGTTATAGTCGAAGAGTGTAATTATAATAGCGTGATTTATCGTCGTACAAAAGCTCATTAAAATCTGAGGATATCAGAAGAGCTACCCTTGTACGGTCGAGGCCGGTCGCGCAAAAAGCGGTCTCTTTGAAAAAAAACGAGCGTAAGAAAAAAGAAAAGTGAAAAGAGGCTTGGCCTTTTTTCGTCGAGAGGAAAATATCGAAGCGTAGAGAAAATGTCCGCGTGGTATGCGGTGGATCAAAGGCTCCACTCTCAGAGGCGTCCATTTAATCGAGCGAAAGACGCTCCTTTTCAAGAACCTTCTCGGCGAAGAGGTTATCGTTTCGATCGATCGATCGACGCGAAATCGACAAATTAACGAGCCACGGAACCGTTCCTCTTTTTTTTTCTTTCTTTTTTTTCTTTTTCATTCGTTTCCTCGATAGTTGCCACCTAGGGGTTAGAGACTTTGAACGATTAGCACCTTAGACGCCGTAACTTGTAAGTACCTAAGTGAAATTGCAGCGTATTTAGCGTAAACCATATGGTGAAACATAGCCGGTAAGGATTATTCTAGCCTGATAGGGGTAATAAGGCTCATTGTGACAGCAATCAGATGCCCCGCGGTCGAATCGCCAACGATCCTTTTCCCTTTCCCAGCACGTTTCACGATCGAGATCATCTTTTCTTGCGAAATCAACCTCGATTCTGTTTCGGAGCGTACCCGAATAGCCACCCTTTAAACATTCAAATTTTCCGTCTAGTTCGCCGGTTTATTTCTATGTTCTTCGGATATTTGAACTGCGGTTATCGTGCTAAAAGTCAAACATTACTAGGGAACGTACAAATATCCGGATGGATGGTGGATTTCAATAGAAAAGCTCGTAGAGCGGACGACCTGTACCGAGGGATCGAAATTCTGCAAGTTCGGTGGTCGCTTCCCACTTTCACCGCAAATTACCGATTCAATGACCAATCCGGTTTGCAGAATTATACAAGTTCGACGTTCCTGGGTAAACCACAGCGTTCTGATAAGAAAGTCGATAAGCAGTTGGTCAAACGTTTCGATGGATCGTCGGTTTCGTTTGTGGCAATCGTTAAGGAAGAAGGATATTTTTTAGTTTAGCTTGTACTAACGCATTAACGATCGAAACGCGTTGAAAAGAAAAAAAGAAGAAAAGAGTTGCACAGGGTCGTCGGTATTCTATTATTTTCGATTTGTCCGACACAAACAACGCCGAGGGATTTGATAATTATCAGAGCATCCCCAAACATCGTTACCGACCGACCGCCTACGCTCGCACCAGCCTGCCTCTCGTCAAACATTATGCGCTCCGCTTAATGAGATTGATGCAATCGGCCGACGCATTTAATCCAGTTAATTTACATTCGGTCCTAATATCGCACGCGAATATTCCGCTAATGCAGTCGATAATGAGAAACAGAAAATTGCTTGCACAACCACCACCATCATCACTCTTCCTGTCCCGGCTAGCCTGATGCTTGTTCGACCTCGTTTCAAATTGCCTGCCCTCGATGTGTTTTTTTCGTTTATCAGGAATCATCGGTTTGTTGGAAATTACAGTGGATACAAAGGAATTGAATTGAATTGAATTTTTTAAAATGTTTCTATCACAATCTAAAGGGTTAATTAGTCGATTCATGAAAAAGTGAGTTTCGAACGTGTCTGTTTACGAGCTTGAAATTCGTTCGCCCTATCCCCTAAGAACGACGGGCAACCCTTAATGATACCGCGTGACGCATCCAGTTCGATTCGAAAGCGTCGTTCAAAGATTAGAAAGGCACCCTGACCATATGGGGACGGAGCCTGGTCCCACCCCATGTTCCAACTATTCCCTATGTACGCTCCACCGAATCGAGGAGGTTTTCAATCAAGGGACAATCATCCCTCGACGAGCAATCGAACCTTTTTATCAAATCATCAGCGGCCCATCGTTTCCCTGCCTCGGACGAAACGTCAACGGCCGATCATCGAACAACGAGGAGAATACTTTTTCGCGACGGGGGTTTCGTACGAGAGATAGAAAGAGATACAGATGTAAGGGATGAAACTCGAGGGTAGAGAGAGGAATATCTGACAAAGGAGGGAATATTTTCTACCGACAAAAGCATACCAACTGCGAATCCTTTTCGATACTTTGTTACTTGAATTCTTAATAAATAATTATTATCGGTGTTAAATGAATTTCAACCCCTTCCAAGACTACCAAACGGCTCTGAAAATTTTCAAGAGTTTCAAGAATTTTCAATTTCGAATAAACATTCGAACGATTCGAAATCCCTCAGCGATTGAATTTTCCGAAAATTTGCAACAGAGAATCCTTGAATACCCATCGGTATCCGCGCTCATAGTTTGCCCTCGTGCGATCAAGATTCCAATCTGCTGTAACCTGCCCCACACTGGGCCCTTATTGTACGTTTACGCACATATTAGGATACGCATGTATATAGATATACATAATATGATATACTACATTATATATTATCGTGTATTGTATGTGTAATTTTGAAATTCGCGAGAAGTGTCGGATGTGAAACGATGCTGTGCGTTTATTTGGTCGACAAGACCGCGGGGCAATGGCGAAAACGAAGGAAAATTACGTGTTTCGATTCCATTTTAACACTTAAACAGCTGGTTAAATAAACAATTTTTCTAAAAGATATCATTCCTTCTAACCTTTCGGCTATTAAATTATAGTTTTCCAGAATTTTATTCATCTTACGTTTCATTCAGGAACGTTTACTTCTATAAAAATCTTTCAAGCTGTTTAAGTATTAATTACATCGATCCGCTATGCGATTGGTGATTGAGGGACGACAGGTGCACGATCAACCCTTTCCACCAGCCCTGAAATTCCCAATATCCGATCAAACTTAAGAAAAAAGTTTTATGGTTTAATCAGTAAAGTATTTCCCGCGAATGATTCATGAAGAGTTCATTTAAGTCACGGCCAGGCCACGAGGAAAAAACATGTTTCTCCTTATTCAACCGATCGAGCCGATCGAGGACATACCTGTCAATGGTTTTGTCGCAACGATCGACTAAATAATTTTACTCCGTAGAAACAGAAGCCCTTGAGATAAGTATACGTTGTTGGAATGATTTAATGGAATGTCGATTTACTGGTTGAAACGTGTCGGGGATTCAATCGGTGACAAAAGCTTGCTAATACAACCAATGAACGAGCTCTCGATAAAAATAACTTATAAGAGAACACCTGACCCACCGATTTGAATAAAACTTCCAGGGGAAGGAAACTAACTCCAAAATCAAATCGGCCCTCGTATAATTTTTCAAAGAATCTTACGATAATCTGTTCTGTTTTCGTCCATCCGTTGCACACCGTAAACCTTAACATAATCGCTCTAATTTTGAAATCGATTCGTGAACTGGAAATGCAACGATGATCGGCTCGATTGTACGTCAAAAGATTTTTTTGTTAAAGACTGACAAACGATCGTTTGATGTTGAAAATCGTTGTTGGAGCCGGTAATTTAGCACTTATCCCCGTTTGCAAGCACGTCGCGAGCAATTCACTGGCGGGCATAAACCATTGATCATTAGCCAACGCGAGGAGGAGGTTTAATCGCGTCGAACGATTCAATTTGACGAGTCGAGCGTGTGGAGTAGATGGATCGGCTCGGAATCGCGTTTCTGGCCTGCCTCTATTACGACTTTTCAACGCACTCCGCGTTGCCAATGGCATTGAATCAACCAAGCGACGCAGCTGTGTAATCGAGTACGATTAAAGGTCGACACGCGATCGCTTCTCACTACGATATATAATAAGTTGTCGAAAAACCCAGGGAAACGACAGAGGTCGATGTGACAATTAGCGAGAACCGAGTAATCGATTCGAATACCGTTCGAAATTTTAAATTACTCAAAGTTCCGCAAGCAAAAAGTATCTATCCTAAAAAATTACCAAATTCGATTAGGGTCGTGCTCCGATCGTTTCTACTACCACCATTTCGCAAAAAGAAAATTAATATGCTGAATGAAGTATAACCGATAAGAAGGAAAATTAAAGCGTAAGAGAAAGAAAATTAATTGTAGTCTCTGTCGGATGAATGACGAAAAAGCAATATCGCGTGAACAAGGTGTGTGCGTGTGTTATCGAGTGTAATACCACAAAGACACGGAGAAAGCGAATGTCAGAAAGGAAGAGAGAAATTTTTGCGAATGATAAGTGTGTAAGCTACCTGTGCCTTGTAACAAACTATGTATGTATATACGTATTATATACACATGGTCACACGAGGAAGACGAAAGAGTACATTGCATACTACACATGTAACACGTAAAAACTCTCACGTTAATCTTATGTATTTAAAAAAGAAAAAGAAAAAAAGAAAAAAAATGAAAGCGAAACGTTGTCGTCTCTTCTGGAACGCGGCAAAGAAAATCGAGAAAACCCCTCTCAGAATTTTCGTTCAGCGACAAGCACGAAAAGTTAGAAGAAGATAAAGAAGGCACGAAAGAAACGTGTAACGTAACGAAAATAACGAAACGAACAAAATGAACACACACACAGAGATAGAGAGAGAGAGAGAGAGAGAGAACGAAATAAAAGTTGTTGAAACGAATAGGGACAAAGAAAGAAAAAATAAGAAGAAACAAGATAAAAATAGCAATAATCGAATCTCAGACTGAATTATTAAACGGGAAAAGAAATAAGTGAAAGAGAATCGAATATTAACAACCTGCAATCTTTGTTGTCGCGGCGAGCGACGCGCGAGCGTGTTAATTATTATAAATACTGTTACACAGTGTCTTGCTACATTGAGGAGATTAAAATAAAATCTCCAAGCTCGAACATGGATTGTTTTATTTATAAACACATCAACGGATTTCCCAGATTTCCTTTTATTCTTCACCCTTCCTTTCAGTAGACTTACTATGAAAAACAAAAATATTGATAAAGATAAGTTTTTCTCTTACAATTTTGTGCCCTCAATCGAGGAAAACAAGTTTCCACACACGATTTTCTTTGGACTCCCCCGTTCCTCGAGCCGGGGAAAGATTTACGTAACAACTTTTTCAAAGATGACAGTCGAAATCGCGTAGCAGACGTCGAATAACCGAAAGCTTTCTCCAGTCAGTCGGGCAAATTTTTGTATTTCCTCGAGAGCCGATTTCTTGGCTCCGCTTTGAAGGGAACGAACGCTTTCTTCGTGAACGATGCCAGCAAGCCCGCGATTTATGACCCAACGCGGTCAATTGCTGCCGTACAATCCTACCTTTTCTTTTTTCGATTTAAGGTTCGCTTCTTTCTCTCTTTGCGATTGACCAAATCTGTCTCCCACGTTAAGCGAGAGACACGCACGCGCGCATAAATCCTTTCAGCTTGCTGGCACGTGCCGCGATGGAAATTCGCTCCGCGACGATGATTTATCACTGTACCACCAGACCAGACCAGACGATGATAAGCACGCGTTTCTTTGTCTACTGTGTTTCATCTGTCCGCTTCTGTTCTGATTTAACGATGAAAAAGAAGACCACGACGAATAATGGAAAGACGAAAAGAAAAATCGAATTTTTAGATAGGGAAACATAGTGTTAGAAGCGATTAGAGTATAGAGTATTCTTTTATCGATCATTTGATAGCCAACTATTCCGCGAATGAAATGGTGAGCATCTTTTGCAGGAACGGGAGGGTTCGCTGAAAAGCTTCTTTAATATTGCGATAACGTGTTGCAGCCTGTACAAACTCCTTTTAAGGAGTTGCCCATAAATTTCCGAAGTAGCCGTAAAATGATTATAAACGAGCAAAGTTATCCTGAACTGTACGCCGACGTTGATTTAACGTAGACTTTACGTGCCTAACGGCCACGGAAGTGTATATTGTTGCGGCGAGCTTCGAGGCAAGTCTATCCCTAACCAACACTCCTTTCGGACGACTAATTCTTCGGCTTGTTCTACCATACCTGAATGGTACAATAGAAAAATCGTATAAAAATGATTTCAATAAATGCTAATCATCGTCCACTTTGAAAAAGAAAAAACAACCCTTGAAAGCCGGAAACTATGCTTATAAAAGTTTCCCTAGTTGCAGTCAATTTTAATGATCGCCAGTGAAGATATCATTTCACGAAGATTTCGTTTACGAATCGTCGAATCGACGAGCAGAAGTTTCGTCGCCAACAAGTCTGTTCGAGATCCTTAACGAGCTTACAAATCTGTTCGCCCAAGGCAAGATAATTTTATTAATAAACTGAAAGATCCATAGAATCGAATTCTCATTCGATCAACCCTTTAAATAAAACTTTTAGCGCTCTTTTCTCGTCTCGAGCACATCGAATTAGCTAAATTCCCCCTGAAAATCTTTCAGGAACGGCAACGGATAATTACCCGACTATTTCGTTAATAAGCTTCCCCTCATAAGGATGAGTTTTACAGAAATTAATGTCTCGTAAGGAGACCAAAGTGGAGGCTTTCTCTAAGAAACTTTCGTCGAAAGAACCCTTTAAACTTTTTCCTTCCTCGATGAATGCGAAAAGGGTATATTATTACGATGACCCTTAAGGGCCATCGTTCGTTGGGCCACGTTGACCGATTCAAAAAATAGCTCATTTTTATATTTTTAAAATTGTTCGAGACGAAAGTCTAATTTAAACTTCGATATCCCTTGATAGGATCTCGTTCGAGGGATGTTCGGACGGCGATTATAAAAATAGCGGTAACTGCTCGTAACGAGAAGGGAGAAAAAGGGGAAAAGAAATTCGTTCAAGGTCCGAACGTGTACCTTAACGAGCCAACTATTACGTTGATTAGTTCGCAGCGGGACAGCAATTAACTGGCTGTACACGTTCGAGAAATAAATGACTTCAAGATTAATATGTCGTGTGAAAAGAAGGAAGATGAGAAAATTGCTTGATAAAGTTTTTACTGTAGAATGTTTTGTTACGTTCCTAAAGCAAAGCTTTCGTATAAATTAACAGCTCTGGTTAAAAATATGTAATGTTTACTTAGCTACTCGTATTCTCGTTTCCGTTCGATAAACTCTATCGATTAGCGATCGATCAACGAGACCTGAAACGACTTATCAGCAGAAAGGGAAACGATTCTCATCCGATTGGCGGGTTTGCTTTTCGTCGCGCGTCGAGCACAGGTGTGCAAGGAACAGTGGTGCACAACCGTGAGGCCACGTGTGGCCTGTTATGCGGTTCACGCACGGAATGCGGCTCGTTACATCGCGCGGAGCGGTCTCGCGTGCCGCGTGCGGTCCACCGCGTGCAATCGTGCGGCTTGCGGTCCTTTACGCGAACCTCCGATATTTAAAGCTCCTCCGGAATTTTGCGTTCCATTACGATTTCTCACTCGTCTTCGACTCCACCTTAGACTCATCGGAGTCGCAAAAACTGAAGATGACCGTTAAATTGTCGTTTATCCTATGTCAAATTTGTTTACTCGCTCAATGTCAAATCGTAAATTTAGGAGGCACGGGAATATACAGAGCGTCAGCTCGGAAATTTGTGCGAAAAACAGTGATGCAGACCCGCCGCGCCGCTTGGGTCCAGTCTGGTCGCGCGACCTATGAAAAATTGCATCATCACGCTGGCGCGGTATTTAATTTTGATAAAATGACCGGCATTTATCAACGTTACGCAAGTAACATCATTTCCTTCAGTTATGCTACAGACTGTTTTTTACATACTGTCTGCACACTTGAATAAACACAATTAACGCGTTCATTGTCTTAGAAATCAGTGTACACAGATGCCGTAAATTAAATTCAGTCGAATAATTGAAAAAGTGAAAACCTCGAATATACTTAATATACTTAATAATCCTAATTACCTTGCGTCGTACTGATAACTTTCATTTTTATCGCGTCGGCGAACGTGTTAAAATTCGCACTAATTGCTACTTAACCGAGCGTGCGATTTTAAAAGAGAACGACTGCTCTTTGTACCATGCCCCTCAATTTCATCCCGCTCGAAGCAATCCCCAGCCAACGTCCCGGCCATTTAACGTTCTACTACTTCAAATCTATCCCGGGCATTAACGATCAAAAATAACGATTTAATCGGTACCCGTAAAAATACACCTCTTCATCTTAATTCAATTTCGTGAATTCTATATCATGTTCCACGACACAATTGCTCCATTTTCCAGCACATCAACAATTTATGTTTTCACAGAGGAGAGCAAAGATTTACGAAGTATCGCTGTTGCTCTGAAATTCGTGCCAAAAGCTGTGCAATCTATAACACATCGAGACAACGGATCCGCTTCGTCATTCGATGACACACACTTCTCTGCTTATCACCTCCACGCACTTCCATTGTGCGCGATAAGGAAACAGTTTCAACTTCTTCGGAATCGATGGAAATACTTAAAATTCCAATCGCGATAAACGATACGAATAAATTGACGCCGATCGAATTGCACCGTAATCGAATCGCACTTGTGCTGATTATTCCAAAAATAAAGTATTTTTCTCGCCACTTTCAGAAACATATAGTTTTCCTTGTATTTTTGGGAATGATGATAACCAGAGATCAGAGTATCAGGGCTGTGAACCAGTTCCGACGATTCTCTGTTAGCCTAGACGTAACGAACGTGCGACCTGGTCAATTAAATTCAATCGAAACCGATTGATCTACCAGTGTGTCAATGTACACCGTAATTCTACACGCAGTCGTCGACTAACCGAATAGCTTTGTGATTGCTAAGAACCGACTTGCACGTACACCCAATAATTACCTACCAGTCATTCCAATGACAGATTTTTTAATTGAATTTTTCACCAAGTCATCCAGTTTCCAACTATTGCTCAAACGAAATCGTTCATTCTAATAAATACGACGAATCATCCTGAAATACTAATATTTCAAACCAGGAAATGACCATGTTAATTAAGGCACAGTTTTCGCGATACGTTTGCTCCAAATATCACGATCGTAATTTACCATCAATTAGAAGCTATTGGTCTCTTGACTCGAGCCGAGCTAACCGCAAATTATATGCAATATATTATATATATACACCTATAGATATATGTATAGATATATCGTATAGATGCATACATATACATATGGATGAAAATAGATATACCGATGCCAGTCAATAACCTCTGGGCTAATATAATTTAGTAATACTGCAATATAGCGAATAACACACGTTAATAATATCTCTCAACCGTTCGTTTGAATATTACATTCTTTTATCAATAGAATTGCCTGCATCGAATCGTTTCGTTCGAACAATAACGATAAATTTTTGTCATAATATATAGAGAACGTACTGTATTGGCTATTATTACGCAACACTGAACACTTTTCTGATTGGTTATTCAACAGAAACTTATTGTTTTTTTATCGTCCACGTTTTAATTTATCGACGTTCAAAAACATTGAAATTACACGCCAGTTCCTTTCATAAAATATAAAATGAAAATTTTCACGTGATATTTTGCAATAAAAACGGATATTGTTAACCTAATTCAGAATTAATTATTCTTTAGACTTTCTTCTTTTTTAGAAAATAATTGGAATTGCTGGAATAATGATCTAAGCAGAAATTCATTCAAACATTGGCCAATTCTGCTAGCTGCACTCGAAACCGTTCTAGGTAATCTTCGTGCAATGTCATTAATCGAATCTAATCTGTATGAAAAAAAAGAAGGAAATCGTGGGCAAAAGTAGCCATTCAACTGAACGATCGTAAAAATCGAGTTACACGGCAATCGGTGGAGGAGGGATATTTTTCCAGAGAGGGGAGACACTCTTATACAACAGATTTATATGTACGTTCGACAGCCGGCTGCTAGCCATTGCGAACCGTGTTCGCCACTCGGTCGCTCTTCAACAGAATCACTTTCGATTTACCTTGAATCATTACACCGAGTACTCATGTGAATAACAATCAACGTGCAAGTCAACAGTTTGACGTTTCATCGAGGTTTTGATAGAAGAAATCGAAAGTTTGTAATAGAGAAGTGGAACCGATGTCCGAACAGAACCGGAAGAAGTATCGTGGAAGATCGAGCGGTAGTTTAGTGGCAAGTTCGAGGCTAAAACCGTGAGAAGGTTGACGGTCAGCAAGCTGGAGTCAAGCGAGTCGAAGCTGGACAAACTGGGAACTGAAAGTGGTTATTCGCCTGGATGAAGAAGACAAATGACTGGGTGATAGGAAATTAGTTCCAGTGAACGCCAGGATAAACAGGTATCTTTTGTTTATTCTTAGCTCGTTTCAACACCTTCACCGTCGCAGTATTTAATACGACACGCTATAACGTGAATCATTAACACGTTGAATAGCAGAGTAAAAATGATAATATCTTCGGTAATCCATTTCATCCTCTTGTCTGACTAGATATGATTAGTTCTACTGAAGCGATCAACGCGTTAAGCTTTCCCTTTGATACCTCGGATAATGTAATTATAAATTAGCTAGCTTATTTTTCATGAAACACGTACGATTAAATAGAATTATATCACATGGTCGACTCGTTTCATCAGGCTGTTATCACGGAAACGGATACATGGTTAGCGTGTAGTCAAGGTTAGTTAGACACAAGAAGATAGTAATAATAAAAGTTTATGTAACGAAAAATTGAAAAGAATTTTTCATTTAATCAAACGCCACTAGGAATGAGAAGAAAAAATATTTACAACAGGAAGGAACGATTGATATATCACACTTTACAAATTGTATCAAAGCGAACGACAAGGGTTAAATTGGGCCACGTTTGTCGTGAAAGAGAAGCTTCAATGCAGGCGTGTTTTTACTGGAAAGCTCGTTCTTGCAGGTAGCTCGAAACCGGGTGAAAAAGAGATTTTCAAAGCGCAGAGAGATTGGACGTCTCTGTATCGGATTCGCTTACGGCAGCCTTTTAACTGTCACCTGATCTCTCGTGGCCGAACGAAATTCGACAGGTGAGTGAACGAAGCCGCGAAACAATTTATCCGTGAATCGTGAGATCTAATAAAACTCGGACGACACGTTTGAGAAATAAATCGACCGATTGCACGCACACGATCGAACGTTAATTCGACAAGCAATACGCCTAGTCCGTTCAACACATGAAATGAATAAATAATTATCTGGGTCTCGGGTTCTTTTCTAATTCTAATCGCACCGGTGTCATTAACCGTATCGAATAGACAGCGTTAAAACCACAAATCACGTTCCTATGTTAAGTGAAACTGTCAAGAGAAAACAGTTAACTTATTAGCGAGTTGCGTGCACCGTGCCACTTTGACCTTGTTTCATTGCGAACTCTTATACGATTAAGACAAGTCTAATGAGTCTACGTTACGTACTTAAGAAAAAGTAGCGTGAAAGGCAATGTACCGTCGCGAAATTGTCCTCTTTTCTTTTCTCTTTTAATATATTGCAGAATCGAGCAAATTGATCGAATGGAAAGAAAAAAAAAAAAAAAACTCGCAATCAGCTCGTTCGCCACTTTCGTCGGTTTTGACACAATATAATTTCCGTGAAACTGGCCGTGAAATCGAAATCGATTCGACGCCACTCGTCGACTGATGGAAACCGGGAAACGAGGCCGTCGAATACGTAAGTCATTGACACGTTTCTGTACATACGAGTGACACGCTGCCAAACGCTGCTGACAGCTTTCGCAAGCGGAGTACTTTGCGAATCGCAGCCAGAGAGACAGGAGTTTCTTGAACTCTGGACGACATATTTTCGATTCGACACGCGTCGATTTATCGAATAATCGAAGACGTACTTAACCGGTGCATCGTCGTATCGAGCCTTTGAAATACTCGATAACATTCAACGGGTCAATCTCGAATGGCTTATCATAATTTTACACGAATCTCTCATAAAGATAACAAATTGTAATTTATTATCGCGGTTAATGAAAAACGTTAACTGCCGGCTGCTGTTTCTTGGTAATTAACTGTGCGAATACTCGCATATCGATCATCGGTGCTGATAAATTATTTATTTATTTATTTATTTATTAACAATCTGTCGATGCTTTCACGAGAAATCCTCATTAATGAGCAGCGACCAAATGAAATCGAGCGTTTAATGGTTGGTTGAGCCGGGTTAGTTAATCAGTGCGTCGAATGATTACACACGGATCGCGTAATTGTTCGCGACAAACAGCGAACCTCGTACGATGAAAAACGAAACGAAGATTCGATCGGTCGATTACGGCCTGCCGACTGCCGTTTCAGCCGGCATTCGAGTTACGAAAGTTCAGATAAAATGTGTCGTGGAAACCTTGTGTGACGGTAGTTCGTGCTCGCCTACTGTGACGCTGGTAAATCGCGATATTACGTGGAACGTTGCAAGTCACAGAAAATTGTTCTCGATCGGTACGACAAGGTAGCAGAAAATAGCGTTAAATCTTGCTGCTCCGAACCGCTTCTATCTCCAAGGGAAACTGTCTTTAGAATCGAAGAAAATGATAAGGAATTTTTCCATTAGATCGTTGGCTAGATTACAAATGCTAAAAAGACTTTGAAACATTACCCAAAGATCCAATTGCACTCGACAAATTAACAATAGCTTATCATTTAATGTTACAATATCATTGTCAGTAATATAATCAGATAGTAATTAGCAGAGGAAAGAAATTTCATCGATAACAATCGTTATCGAACACAGCACCTTCCCGTCATTTATAAACGATCGGAATCGAATACCTCTTGATCTAGCAGTTTATCGATCGGCTGATACATGTATCTATCTATTTAAATGATTATTTCGAATGATTTGCTAATTCGCTATAGAGATAATATTGTCCAATAAAATGACACGAATGATGTTAATAATGTTGTCGGTGATCCTAATCGCAATCACGAAACAAGAAATGTTGAAATTCTACTTGAAATGCTCCTTAAACGTCCTACTTGAAAACTTGACATAAATTGTTTCTACGATCTCGACACGTTCCGATACACTGTTTACAAAAGTAACTAATTTCGATTAGGTATCGTTTAGATAAACAAAAATAATCAATCATTCCTGTTGATTCTGGACAAATTAAATGATACAAATGATTTAATTAGTCATCCTAATAATAACAACGCGATACGTATTTGATTTTTCCAAGTTTTCGTTTTATTTATCGATCAAACGAATTTATCAAACTGCTCGAATTGACAGTGTCGATGAAGGAAATGATTGGAAATTTATTTTCGAGCATGCACGCGTGTTTATTGAATATTCCAAGTAATTTGTCTACCGAATGACAAAATATTACGTCCGTATCGTGATTTACGGATCGACATATTTGTTTTCATCGATTGTAATACGTTCACGGCGTGCACGGTTTATTTCAACGGTTAAAACTCCACTTTTTTATGGATTTTTCCCGGCAAATTTTTCCATCCGCTGTTTCAAAGAGTCTACGAATAATTATAAACACGTAGAAGGGAGCAAACGTATAATCAAACGAGCTTGCGAGCTCAACAACGTTTTGCCTTTAGTATTTTTCTTCTTTTTATCTGTGTGTGTGTGTTTTTTTATCATATACGGGATTAAAAATGCAACACGCAAACGACGTATCATGCTTCAATTAAGGCGAATGCATCCGAAACTCGTTGCATCCCACAGGAAGGCGAGTTATTTTAACATTACAAGTATTTCCTTGCGTGACGGTTTTTCCAAAAGAGTTTGTTAACAACCGTCCGTCCCGTTCCTCGCCTGACCGATTCAAAAGTTGTTGCCTTTAACGAGCCATGTTTCTGTCCCCTAATGAAATCGTGACTCGCTAGACATGTACAAAATAAATATATATATATTATACCAGTCGCAAGGCGTTTGCCAACGCTCAAAAAGTTGGGAAACATGGTTGCTAGTTTGCTCCAAGTTTTGAAATTTGTTCACTCGTGCAACGTGGTCCAGCTGTAATTAACCCTTTCGCTACACTCACTCGTCGCGTATTAAAAGGAAAAAAAAAAAAGGGCAAAATAGACCGGGACGGAATATATAGAGTGTTTCATTTATTTCTACTATTCTCAATTCTTTTTGCAAAATATTTCGAAGAAGCAAAATATTTTTAGCTATCGAGATAAAAAAATGTTAACGAACGTCATCTGGTAAAAAAAATATGAATATCGTAAGATGAAAGTTGTATTCGTAATATCGTTGGAACGCATTGCTTCGCAATGTCGCCTGGTATCCACGGGAAACTTCTTTCTGCAGAGTGTTTGGACCGTTCGAACCGATTTCCAATGTAAATTTACAAGCTCGCAGCGACAGTTTGGCTCGGTCTGCGGATACGATTTCTATCGAATATTAATGCACGGACCGCGGGCTGCTTTTGACCCGCTCCTGAGACCCGATTTTACGACCGAGAACTAGAAGAAAGAACAAAACACAGCTGTGGGCTGACCTGTGTCGCGTCCCACTTTTAAAGAATATCCCTTACGATTCGGTACATTTGCTATTTTTTAATAGAATTCTTGGATTTTCATGGAAACAAATGTTTACTCCAAAAATTGTCCAAGGAAAATAAATTTTTGAAATTGTTTACTGTAATAATCTTCGCCGAGACGATTGCTCGCTAATTTAATTACTCGATGGACGGAGAAACTTCCGCGAAATTTGTTTATTCTTCGTTATATTACCAAGTTCCGAACTTCTTGTCCCCGGATACCTAATTTCATTAATCACCGAGATAGCATTTCAACGAAACTTCCAACCGGTAATTTTTTAACCAACATTTCTGGTTTCAGAATTCCTTTCATCGTAATGAACCATATTTTCTGTCGATATGTATAGATTGTTTCATATCGAATGGCCAATTGCACGTAAGGGTGTTAATCAAAGAGTTAATAGGGAGAAATCATAAGTTTCTTCGAGTTCTAATTAACGAAGGGCAAGGCTTTCAACGCATATTCGACCATTCGCGATTAAGTAATTGGTAACGATAAGGAATTAGCATGGAAGTGGCATTACGTTGCCCGATCCAAAGTTAATCTTTAATTTATGCTAACCGTTATTACCTGGCAGGCTAGCCTTTAATACCGCTCACACGAAACTCTGTTCGTAAAATTGTTTCCCGGATGAAAGGATAATGCCAACTACCAGACGGAAAGATGATAACGCGATCGTGTTGCGAAAGAATTCGCTGAAACAGTAACTAGGAAAAGAAAAAGAACGAAAAAAAAAGAAAGAAAAAAGATTACTCGAAGAAATAGACGAGAGATAACAAGGAATTTGTAATAAATTTCGTCATTTCATTTATAATGATCTACCTAATACTTCCTAACTCTCTTTTTTTATTTTTCTGTCTCGTTCTTCCTCATATTGATATCGTTTCTCTCTTGCTTGTACTCTGTTCCTTTCAATACGAGAAGCAGTTTTCACAATCTCGATGGAACTTCACCGACACTTGACCCATTAAAGTGTATTAAGTTTATCAAGGAGCAAACAACTGGTGTTCTAAGCGATAGGTAGAGAAAGGATGCAAACAACAAATTGCATGTTTCATGCAAATCGCGAGGATAAAGTTTTCTATCAATTTTTTCTTTTTTTGAGTAAACTGGATTTGATAAAATCACGGAAACCACTATCTCTGAACGCGGTCCATGATATTTATTAGGGACACAACTTTAGTTAAGCGAGGAAAGATACTTCGTTTAACTCGGAAGCAAAATGGAGGAAAAGTGAGGCTAAAGCATAACGAGCGCTAAGTATTATAATATAATTTTTGGTTTTACTTTTCCCACGTTTGTCATAAATTTTAAATTTCCCGCAGCGGAGAACGCAGCCTTAATGGATTTAAAAATGTAATGAAACTTGACTGGATTAAAAAATCTTAGATTTTCCAAGCCTGAAACTTAATCACCGTAGCTATCGATCGATCCGCCATAAAAAGCTATTGAAAGGTAGAAAGATTTTCGCGAGTCAATTCATCGGGAAACGACATTTTCGAATCGCCCTGAAAATTTCTACGATATCGATGGGTTCCTGAATCCTCGAAATCTGAAGGACGGTCCAACGAGAGGAATATTTCCTCGACCATTTCGGTCGAACGATTCGGGGGAATAATTTCAAGGTATATCGACGAACGTCCGGTCAGGAACGATCTTGTTTATCCATATCGAGGGCGAATTGAAATTGATAGAAAGGAAAGAAAGGAGTTGGGCAGGAGGCTATCTTCGAGGATTAGGTCCGTTCGACTCGGTCAGCTAGGAAAAGCGAAGGAAAATATTGGCGGCGAGGAAGCCCTGTATACGTCAACAAAAGCGGCAGCAGACTGCCGATCGACTTTCAAAGCTGTTTCCGTGTAAGCTTCACGAAGACCCCTTTGGGACGAAGAGTGCACTCGAACGTCGATCTCTCTTTCGATTTATTCCATCTACAAATATATACTGGGTGTTCAAAAATTTGCCTCCATTGCATATTGCATTTTCGCCCAAATATCAAGATAAAGAGCACGCGTCTGAATATACTGCAGTAACTGAGAACCCTTATTCTGAACCGCACGGTCCTTTTGTAGAAAAGACAAAAACTAGTTAGCGAGTAATCAGAATCAGGAAGTACTTTCCATTAGAAAAAGCTAACATGTTACCAGTCGGTGTAAGTTGAAGTACCGTTGACTGTCCGATCGGACTTAAACATTGCACAGTGACCATTTGGAGAAGGTAAATGTTGGAAATTCTAAATTTAATATAAACGATCAACGTGGAAGAAAACGTGAGTAACGAAGAGACAAAGGAAAATTTGGCCGATATAATGATTAATCGACACGAGTAAAAGTGGCTGAAAGAGAAACAAGCCTGATGGAAAGTATAATATCATCAAGTTTCGTTCTGAAAAAAGAAACACGTACACGGTTTGGTATCTTGGAATAACCATATAATCTATTTAAATAAGAAAAAACCATCAAAGAAGGATATAATGCGATGAAACGAAAGAAAAAAATACACGGTGTAACGAAACATTGCGTATCAAAACGATAACCACCACGTTATGGAACTCGTTAATGACGTCGCGTTGCACCGCAATTTGCATGCAAATATCTCGATACGAGGCTGAGAAACTTCTTTCACTGTTCTACCTGAATTATTCCACGAGAAATTTACATCAAACTAATTTCGTGTCTTTCGTACGACCGTCAGATCCTCGTAAATCAATGATTTCCAGGAGTACATTCTTTAAACACAACCTATTATTATCATAAATACTGTAAAAGTGAGCTGCTTTTTTATTAACACACTCTGTATAGACACACCTTTGTATGCTTCTTGTGCTCATTTTACAAAAGTAACACACGAGGGGATTTGAACGCTAACTGGGTAAAAACTATAATGGCGAGTCGTGTTAGTTGAGTTTAAGTTAGATTTGGCAGCGGTTCCAATTCTAATGGTAACATTTAGCGCGTTTGTTTTCCCAAAACTTACTCCTCTTCGCGAAAGGTCAAAAGTCTTGGATCAATTAAAAAAAAAAAACTAGATATTATTAAAATTGAATAACATTTAATCTCTAAATATAACTTTTATTTACAATTAAAAATGTTTATTTAATTAATTACCACCTACCCCTAATTTATGCCAGAATCTCCTACAACTATCCTAAGTTTCAAGCCTTGTCTCCCCTTTCCATCAACGTTCAAATTTCCTTACAAAAAGCAAAAAATATTCACCCTATGATACCGCGTTACACTACACCCCTATTCCGGTCCCGGGTCTCCCGCGCCTCCACCTTTAGCAATGACACAGAGGATGCGTACCACCCCATAGTTTTCTATCTACGTTTGCTCGAAACTGTTTGAGGTGGCTCGATCGATTTTTTTGCTTGAGTCGTCGCAAAATATTCGGCGATATCATTCGTCATGAACGAGACCATATGCCCATCGCAATTCGAATAAAATATTAGATATTCCCCGAACGCCAGCTCCTATCTCCTCTAACGTCTCGCGACGCGATTCATCGAGGTCGTCGCGTTTACGAGGTTAAGTTCGACTGATACTCCCTGTGTCTTTCCATAGACTTTTCTTAATAGTACGAACGCAATCATGCCAACACGGCTGTTAACCGTCGCTAAACTTACGGTGTCCACTGCCCGATAGTAAAAATATTATTATGTTTCGAATTTTGTGAATGACTGTTAACTATGCGCTATATAGATTTCTGCTGGTATCAATGGAATGCATCCGGCAAAGTGCCCGGCACTTTATAAGACTTCCTTGTTTGCTCCGCTTGTTAAGCGGTCAAAGCTTTTAGAAATTAGAGGATACTTCTACTGAACGGATGTGCACGGTAGACGCTCGGTTATTTGCTTGAAATTCATTTTTATCTAATGTAGAATAGTTTCATATAGTTTATAATCCTAGATAGTTGAAGTTCATTGACTTTGTGGTGTGATTAAAAGCAAAATCATATTGAAATTTTCAGATTAATCTGTTTAATTTATTTCAGAAGCGATAAAAGATGGCCTTCTTGCAGTACTTTGGGATCTTTGTACTTTTAAGTAAGCCAAGATACTATTTTTTATTTTATGAATTAAACTATATAAAAGGATTCTATTTCTTGTACTAAATGCCAATTAATATTTCAGTTGTTTATCAAGTACAAGCTAAAGTACCAGAACTTAAGGTTTCTACGCAGGATATTAAAGTCCATTTACATAGTAAGGAGTCATTTGAATTGTACCTGACGTAAGTATTGTTTTATAATTAACACATGATAATTTTGCTTAATAGAATGATTGCACTATGGTTATTGAACAAAGCACAAAGAGCTCATTGTTTGCTACGTAATCTAGGCTGTTCACCTACATTGCTTTTATTTCTAAGTCTAATATCCACATACTTCCATTGTTTTAAAACTCTTTACTCTTAACATTTTGGTTGTTTTTTTAATCTCAGTGAAATAACATTGATAACATTATATAATGATAGTCTTGAAAAATTAGAATGTTGCAAGCACTATCTACCAACCAGTAGCTAATTAAGATAAATCTTTATGTATCTTCACATTTTAACTTGATATTTTAATTAACTACACGTTTATAATTTAAAAATATATACTGATCATAATATTTTTTGCACAGGCAAAACCTAACTGAAAATGTATTGGTAAAAATAGAAGTACAGCATCCAGATTTGGTTGCTACTGAACCTGCTAATTTTAGTGTTAATGCAAGTGACAGTAATTACAAATGGAACATAATTATAAAAGGTCTAGGTGCAGGACATTCAGTTGTGGCTGTTAATGTTACTCCTAGTAATGTTACAGAGTAAGTACACTGTTTTAATTTGTGTAATTGTAATGAACATTTTAATATGTTAATTCAACAGCTGTTGATAAGATTTGAAAGCAGTTAATGAAATCAATCCCCACTCTTTTCATTTTAATATCAAACACAGTTGGGTCATGACCTGGGACAATATCAATATTTACTTTTATACCTAACTTTCAAAAGATTTTGATTAGGATTACATTCCCAAGTAGCCACTAACATTTATTTGCAGAGATAGCCTCCTGACCTGTAGTTGTGAACGGATCTTTAACTTACAGTTCAGTCAGTCTGTGCTCAGATTTTGAGCAGGCTACTTCCTGCTCTAACTAGGATATGATACATTAGTTAATAAGAATTGTATTAATTTATTTACTTTTCAAACTTTTAATGGAAAGTGATTCAGCGTAATTATACCCAGCCATTCACTGTATTCTGATATTCATAATAGAAAAAATTGTGTTATACCTTACACCCTCAGAAACAATTGAAATTAGAAAATAATGACAATTTTTAAAGTGATTTTAATACCTCAGGATCAATTAGACAAAGTTAATCTAAAGTAAGACAGTGGTTAAAAATTTTCTGAATCTAACATGTGAGGACTCTTATAGTGTTAACTCTTCATATTGTTACAGTTTTTCAGATGCATTTGTCAGAGTCACAGTGGAAAGATCTGACATTATATACCATGTTAGTACCGTGGTAGGATGGGTATATTTTTTAGCATGGAGTGTCAGTTTTTATCCGCAAATTTACAGTAATTATAAACGTAAAAGCGTCGTAGGATTAAACTTCGATTATTTATCATTAAATCTGATCGGTTTTATTATGTACTCATTATTTAATTGTGGCTTGTATTGGATACCCGAAGTGGAGGTAAGTTTGATCCTAAACATAAATATTACTTTTTTGCAAATAAATGCTAATATAAAATTATATTTTCCAGCTTGAATACTTTAGACGATATCCTAAGGGATTAAATCCTGTACAAGTGAATGATATTTTCTTTTCCTTACATGCAGTATTTGCTACTGTGATAACTATTATTCAATGCTTTATTTATGAGGTAAATAGTCAGACGATATTGTAATTAAAAAATTGATTTTTCCAGCATGCTAATTGTAATGAAATCATTATCTTTTTATAGATAGGAAATCAGAAAGTATCTATTACAGCACGTATTATTCACGTAATATTCGCCGTCTTTATATTAATTTCTACGATCCTAGCAAAAGTACAAACGATTACGTGGCTTGACTTCTTGTATTATTGTAGTTACGTTAAATTATGTATAACGTTAATTAAATACGTTCCACAAGCATTTTATAACTATAAGAGAAAATCTACCGTCGGTTGGAGCATTGGCAATATATTCTTAGATTTTACTGGTGGTATCTTATCGATGCTACAGATGATACTAAATGCATACAATTATGGTAATGTATACAAGACGGATAAGAAATTTAATGATATTATCCTTTTCTAGAGAACTTCAATTACTAACGACAACTTTTTTTTTATTAGACGATTGGGAAAGTATCTTTGGCGATCCAACGAAATTTGGTCTTGGATTCTTTTCAGTTGCATTTGATATATTTTTCATTCTACAACATTACGTTTTTTATAGGTACGTACGATAATAGTTCTATTTCTCATTAATTATTTATCACTTAATAATGCTTGTTTTGGTGACATCAAAGAATTGTAGATAACATTTAGATTTCCGTAATTATAGATATTAACAACTGAAGTACTAACAAAATGCATGCTCTTTGTTTTTGTGCACTGTTTAAGTATTTATAGAAATTTTATGTTACAAAAATAATTGTACTTAGTATATGCACAAAAATACGCATTCTATTCACTTTATATTTAACGTTTAACTATTTAATAACAAAATTTATGACTTTTTAATATCTTTCTGCAAATAATTAATAAGATATATCATAAAAATTTTAAATAGAATCAATGGCTAGTTTGTGAGTGTAAATATGGAAAATCTAATAGAGAATTTCACTATTTTCTATTTGCTTAAATATCATAATTTTGATACACATGCTTTTTGTAGTACAAACTATAGACACGAGGTAGACAATCGTTTTGATTTTACAGATTTATCAATGAAAAGATGGTTGACCTCAAAAACAGAATATAAGAGTCTTGCATCATCAATTTTCTTTTAAAATTATCTCATAATCCTATGTTTTCTTCTTCCACCCTGCACATGTTTGCAAAATTATAAATTCTTGCAGAGATAGACAGAATGCAAGAAGTAATGAAATACTTCATAGGCAAGAAAATTCAGATGATGAAGAAACAAGGACCTGTTGCGGTTTTATAAAATAAAAATGGGTTTACATTGAAAAATATTTTACAAAATTTCGTTCCAATGTGAATGAAGCTACAGTATTCTATACTTAAAATCATTTCAGTGAATATTCGTTATTTTATTAAACTTCTTATGTAAAATTTACATAATGTTCAAAATTTTAAAATGCATTAGATGCAAATATTATCTATTCCACATTTTAAGTGTCTAAAAGAATCTCAGTCGGTTGTTAACTGCAGGTAAATAAAAGGAAAGAAACATGTGAAAAATGATAGACTATATTGTTAATAAAGTATTAAATGAAAATGATAGCAGATTTGAAGTGCACAACAGTGAAAATGATCATTTCATCATATGAATTTATGTTAAAGTGGTAATAAAAATTGTTTGCATGGTTTTGTGTACTTTGATCTATCAAAACATAAACATTTCATAGTTTTTGTTATACAGTAATTTAATGAAAAATGTTTGAAGCCAGTTAAGAAATTGGTTTCAATTAATACACAAAGTGTTGTTAGCGTTGCATCATGCATGCAGCATGTTATTGAAGTATTTGTATAACATGGGAAAATCTATTCATAATTATGATTTTCTATTGTTTGCCATAGTTATTATAATTTATACTATTGTATTCGTTTGTACATCAAACAAAAATATGTTACGGTTGATAAATTTATGTTTAATCAACATAGCAAATTTTTTATACATTCTATGCTACCTCTGATTGAATTCCTATGAAGCAATAAAATTTTAGATTTTAATTATTGTCTTATCCCTTGTGCAAAAATGATTAAGTATGAGACCATTTGACCCAGCTGTGTTGCACGTGTGTGCATGCGTGTACGAATGTGTATGTTTGCGAGTATGCGTGAGTATATGTTGTATTTTATTAAATTTACTAACCATACTAATTAAACTAACATTCTGCAACGAGTGAAAACGACATCACTGAAAATATGTGATCACGAAAGTAGGACCACTCGTTAGAAAGAACCACGTTATTCTTATTAAGAAAATAAATAAATTACTGAGAAATGCTTTTCACAGGGACCGTAAAGAATACGTTGAAATACCTGGTAACAATTACGAAGGATCGCAAGAAAACACATCAACTAGCACACTTCCTTAATCTAGTGTCATTATTGACTGATTATTTATTTATGTTTATTGCAATAAAGATTTAACTCGTTTATCTACTATTCAAACGTAGAAGTGAGCGTCACTACCATTACCGATCCTATGATGCTTGGTTTGATAATATTTACATAAGTATACGAATATATCAAATATTATTCTTACCGAGTAGAATGTGATGCATGCATCGTTAAAAGTTGCAAAATTGTCCAACTTTGAAACTGTTCCTGCACAACACTGTTCACAAGAAACGAATAATTCACTCTCGCTACGAATTTTATTACGCACGACGTATTACCGGTACACGTAATGAAGCAAAACTGAGGACATTACTCTAGCCTTTAAAATTTGATCCCGCTTATTTGATTCGTCGATATACAACTGTTTCTATTGGTCGCGCCAGTGACACGTGATCTCACCTAGCAGACGTGTTGCGAAAGGTTGTTGTTATTTATTCAAAAAGAAGGTATGTCCTATTGACTTAAAAATTCAATATTTTTGTAAAAAATCAAAAGATACTATTGTTAAACAATCGTTAGCAAAATTGTAGTTAATAAACAGTAATAGAATAATCGTTTAAATGTATGTTTTCACTTGACTGTTAGACATAACCTCTACTGTTTTCAGTAAACATTGAAATGTTTTTATATTACTATTATTATTTTATTTCAAGTAACAGGTGTCAAATGCTAAACATATTTCAACTATATATTGGTATTTCAGAATGAATATATCATCGTTTCTTAGAACAACACAAATTTCATTAACCCTGCATAGAAATTTGAATTGTTGGACAGCAGGAATAACAAAAAAACATAGAAAACTGTATCCACGTGACTACCTTACATATCTTGTCTTACCACACGGTGGTAGTATTCGAATTGAATATGATACACCAAGAAGGATAATCTGTCTCCCTCTTGATCTTGAGACTCTCACAGAAGAACAACGTAAACAAAGGATGGAAGCACGTAAAACTTACACAAAAGCTAAGATAGTTGAAGAATATCAGGATGAATTTGATGAGAGTCAGTTTTTCAATCCTTCCAAAGGTAGAAAATAGTCCTATTATTCTATGAACACTCTACATTATACAAAACTTATATTCACTTTTGACAATTACAATTGTAATAATAAGATAGCAAGTATTTAAAAGATCTCTATTAAGACACAAAATGTAGCCTAATAAATATGTTTGTGCATGTAAAAATAGCTATTCAGTTTTACCATTAATCACATCAATTACTAATAAAAAATGGAATTTATCTCCAATGTTTTACATTGATTATTAACATAAGCGTACGTTTTCACTGCATAAAATACAGGATATAAACGACCAAACATCTATTGCTCGAGGCTGTAGAAGGAAAAGAAAAGTGTTCATTGATCGTATTAATAGGTTTCAATTAACGATTGTTCGCGAAAGCGTGCTGCGATCCTTTCTACCGCGAGAAGGGGCAAATGGGTGCCCATTTTCGGTTTCGCCGCGATGATATAATATTTGGTGATACGTCGTGGTTCGCTTGTGATTGTACGGATGCTTTCGACTCTGGTGAAACTTCGCTATTGCGACAACCTAGGAAAATTTTGCGGCCTTTGTTAGGCAACGATATGTAGCGTACAAGACGAACAGAAGGTGCCAGAACGCATTAATGATTAGGTAGGCGTGATTCGTTTCACGTCGCGTAATGTGTTTATTTGTACGACAACAAAACAACACTTCCTTCGAATATTCCAACATTACTTATTCAAATGTTGTAAGAAAAAGTATAAAATTTCGCGTATCATTATCGCTCTGTTATCAGCATCGTTCTTGTAATTATCTGAGGAGTTCTGGCGCGGGGCGCAGAGTTCAAATTTTCTTTCCTTTTGAATCAAACTTATCAAGAGATATCGGGACATTTATGAATAAAAAATATGTTGTTCTAAATCACTGAGGCTGAATGATAAGCATCTTGTTTTTCGAAAAATGTGAAGGTCGAAATTTCTACTTGCAACACAGAGACCAGTGTATTAACTTTGACCTGTAGTCTCGAAGGACATTATACGAAACTTGAGTATTTGTAATTAGGTAAACAATAATTCAGTGATCAGAATCAGAGAGATTGGTCCCACTTAATTGGTGGTGTCGGTGACCGTACCAGGCCCTGGTACCAAACCCTGTCGCCTGCTTTTTCCACATCAAGACGTGGGGAAGAGGACGGTGATCGCGGGGGAGTTACGGCACGTAAAACGTGGTTCGTTTATGACAGGTAAAAAGACACGGTAAACCAGCATGGTGGGAGTTGGTTCTGTTATAGTAGGCCACGAGGTAGCAGCTCTGGTGTTCCTGCAGGTGTACCACGACCAGCTCGAACTCTCTCTTAGTTTCTGCTGGCGCTCCAGGCTTCTCGTTTTGCCGGAGTGCGCCGCTCCGTGACAATCGAGCTTCGAGATCGCCTCGAAAGCGATCCGTACAATGAACGATTATTCCCGGGGAATTGCGTGAAATATCAACGTGGCAAAATTCGTGTCAAATCGAGAACAGATTCGTCCAAATTCCTTACCGATCTTGAAACGTATCAACGCAATTGACATGGAAGAAAATTCATTTTTATCAGCAGGTCGCGAATCAACGACGTGATCGAATTGTAACAGTGTTTGGGTCATTATAGATCGATGAACCGTTCGTCAATAACAGAGCCTGAAGAAGCGGTGAACTCCTGAGCGTTTAAAGTGCGCCGAGGCTTTTAGAAGGAGAAAGCAGGGGAAGTTGAAGAGTTCAGTCAACTGAGAAGAAAAAAAAAAAATATATACGACGCGTTCCTTTTATAATTACGATCTCTTGTATTCGATTTAATTTTTCAAGACTTTGGAAGTAAATAAAAAGAAACAAAATTGATGCACGTGAAATTGCGTATTGCGAAATTCTTTGGTTTTTAAATTTCATTTCAAGAGATTCTTCGTTATTTTCTCTCGTTACTGCTCGATCAACGAAGCGATCAATGATAGAATGAAAGCGCATTGATCTTTGCGTGTATTCAAGTTTCCTCCTCTCGCGAACACGTGCTCCATTTCATATCGGTTCGTGGACGATGGATTTTTGAGAAGAACTCATCTTCCTGGCTGGTTTACAAACGTGAAATGATCGGCAAACTTGTTTTGAGCCTTTGGATACTCGGATGCATCAGCCTCGACGGTACGTGTATCTCATGTTATTATTATTTTAACCCTTTGGCGATTGATGTCACTTTCTACTAACCGATTCATCTAGTCGAAGCAGGTAAGGTATTCGAATAAAATCATTTGCTGCATTTCATTAGCGAATCAATCAAAAAACAATCCAATAATGGTGATAATTAGATTCCATAGCGTTCGATTGACTTACTTTTTTTTATCCGTAATTAGAATTCCTCATTCTCTCAACGTACACTCCGTAAATTCCGTCCTATGAACCGTTAACGAATCTGGGACAATTATTTAATCATGTAATCCAACGCTGAGGTCATCAACGGCGACGTCTTCAATTTTAAGCGCTGTCCGTTCATTCGCGTCTCTTTTCACTAGATCCGTCGAACGGTACACGAAGAATTTCTCGTTTCAAATGATTTACACCCGATACCGTAGCTAAGATTAGTAACAAGAGTTGCTCCATGAATATTTTTATGGCTTTTCGCGCGGGGATTATTGAAACTTTTTACGATGAAAGTCTAGAAATTCTAGAAATACTCGTTTAATATTCTAGAAACACTCGAGTTCTTTTCATTTTTTCAACACAATATTTATATTTTAAATAAAAATTGTTTATTAATGAAAAATTAATTTTAACGATAGCAATCGACTCGTTAAAGAGGAGGAAAGCAACTGGATCCAGTTTCACGGTCACGGTCGAGATGAAAATTTATGCACATGTACGCGAACGGTTACGTTACAATCATATTACTTCTTCAGGCTTGATTTTCCATCAAGCAAGAGCACGTTACTCTGCAATCAACAGTGCGTATCTTTTTTTTTTATAAAGACAGTTCGTTGGAATCGTATTAAAGAATTTTGGCAAAACAGCTTCCTTGTCGAAAGCGGCTAGAAGAGGCCACTTTCGCTACCATTTGCCAGTGTCGTGAACGAGGAAATTTATTTGCAAATTTCGTGCTCGAATCGCGCTGAATTTTCGAGGCAATTTGCATGATGCGTATGTACACGGTGCGTGAATATGATATTAGTGCCGCGAACGAGTCGCTTTCACTGACGGTGAAATAACCGCGGCGCGACATGTTCGCGGGTTGTCCGTGAAATTCATACCTAGACCGAGTTTTCATCTTCGTTGTGGCTGTGCTTTTACCGTGCGATCGGCTCTAACGATTACATCGTTAAATAACACGTAGCTGATCAGAAATCGGTTATTTTAGTTCATTACGAACTTATGCCATCATTAATGTCAAGAAGTGAAACGTTCCCCACCGTTTCCACGTATTAAGAAAGAATTTTCACAATAACGAGGAAAATCTCGTGTAACCGGTTGCCCGTAATTCTTCCGTTAATTGCTTTCCTTCGTAATTAATTCCACACGTTTTCACGCAGAATCAACATTACATATGAAAACAATGAAAATGATCCGAGAGAACTTCTATTCTCGCAAACGCTTTCTTTTTCAACTATAGCCTACTTTCGAAATTCGTACAACAGACGCTTTTTACTTGTCACGTATTTCGTACACGAAAAGTTCACGCCTGAAATATTCATCTAAAGCACTCTTTGCTAAGTACGCAAACAAAAAATGAGTTATTAAGTCACGCCTTCGGCTTTTTAGCATGGATGTCGGGTTTATCCACTGACTCACCACGGATCTGTCCCTTTTTCCCTCAGAATTTTTGCGTTTCATTCGCCTTTCTCCTTATACGTCACTTTTGTGAACGAGGATCCGGAAGACCGAACTGATCATCCGCTTCAATAGGAGAATTTCACCAGTGAACGTAAGATGAAATTCAAAGAAACAACAAACAGTTCTGACACGAATACGCTCGCAACATTGCTATGCTAATTAGTTCCTAATTCCAACAATCAGATTAATGTTACGAACAAAAGTAAAACCACGTCCTTGATGATACAGCAAAAGAGAAAATCATTCAGCGAGGAATATGTTCTTCCCACTTTCAATCTATCAACAATCCCATCTTTCTATCGAGGATCTAATGTTGATGACTTTTTTGATGAATCTTTGCAATCATTTCCGTCACCCTCCCACATCGAATAATCAGAAAGCTACAGATGGTCACAGTGGATGAATAGTAAAAAGTAACTGTGACCATCGGGGTGCAAAGTAATTTTGAAATACCGTTCCACCGAGCTGAAGAAACGGATTGTTTCCTTTTTCCGTTGTTGCACGTCGCGAACATAATTGTAACCCGTGGTTTCGTTCTGTCAACGATTTCGTCGTGTCATCGCAGTCAACGGGCCGGAAATACGACGTATCGCAACAACGGGCTACGAAAATAGGAAGGTCCCAAGGTAGGAAAAGGAAAACGAGACTCGATTCCGATTATAAAACGAACGAGAACGGAACGAGAGAAGTCAATGATGCGAGAGCAATTTTACGCGACGAGAAAATCGACGCCCGTCGCGTAAGCTTAGGCTTCTTTCAAGATCAATGACACAAGGAGATTAGAATTATGTAGCTTACGTGAAGACCGAAACGATTAAATAATTTTCTGTACAGGAAATGTTATGCGAACAAGCTAAAGTGAACTAGAACGACATTCGCTCTAGAGCCTTTTCAGCCGTTTCCGGTCAGACCGGAACTGGCAAAATAAAAAGAAAAATTGTCGGCCAATCGTTGAGATTTTGACCCACTAAACTCAATGGCGCAAGAAAATAGTGTGACATGGCAAATTGAAAATTTTAAAACATGGTTCATTTTAGAACAGGTAAAGGAGATACTACTAACTGCTAACTATTTAGATAAATTTTCGCGATCATTAATGAAGATATTTTTTTTTCAATTGGTCAGCTGAACAATTAACAGCTTGCACACCTAGAACAAGGAGGGCAACCCTTCAAAACACTTGTTACTACACTTCGTGTGATAATGCATCGTAATCGTTTTAATAGCTGTTCCGTGATAGTTGCGTGACTAACGATAAGTAAGGTAATCTTGATTAGGTTCCACCAGAAGAACGACGGAAGTTAGTGTCAAAGTACGCGCAATTTACTTTGAACGTTCTTCCTGTAATTATTTTTCTTTCTGGTAGTTAGCTTTATTGTTAATAGGATTCTCCGAAATTCCCCAGTCTTATTAGATGTATAAGGTATAAGCTATGCGTTAACATTCTTGATAATATCAACAAACCTACTTCTTTGCTGACATTATTAAGAATGACAACGCATCATTATGGAATTTGTTTGTACATCGATCTATCGATGTTTTCGAAAGGAAACACGATTACAGTAGAGATCGAACGTTTGCCAATCTTTCGATGTTGGTTAACATACTTTTCTAAGAAAGAGCAAGAGGTGATTGTGGGCGTGATTTCGAGCAACGGGGATCAATAAATAACAGTCGAATCGATTTGTTTATCGCGTAATATGTTCACGTGTACTTGGATGAGACACGTAGAGGCAGAGAATTTCTAGAGTCGAAGTTAGCGGGTACTTTCTCCGGCAAACCGAGTCCGTTTCCTTTTTTCCACTCTCCTTACGAATCGTCTTCGCCATCGAATGCCACTTTGAAATTGAACGGTGCGTAACTATATTGCTCAATTATTCTTCGAATATACAAATTTAACGCCTATTAATTTTATTTTCAAACTAAAGGAGAATTCTTTGGTTTCATTGAATAGAGGCGAAGATACCTTATACAATTACACAGCTTTGTAAAGAATAAATGATACTTTCACTAATCTTTTTAAAACCTATTTTGAAATCGAACACTATTTGTATTGACAGAGATCAGAGAAGTTACTCTGGAAAGCGTAATACTTAAAACCGCACCCTCTTCCAATTATCGCGTACAGCATCATTTGAAAATTTAATTTTCTCGTCTTTTATTGCCGTTCACCGCCTTCGCAAACTTTCTCTCTGTTTATTATCGTTTCATTTTCCATCGTTAAACCTTGACTAATCCCAACGTATGCCTCGAATACCAATTCTTTCCGTGTCCATATTTCGACTACTTACTTTTACTTTCTAATATCATTCTAATGATCAATCTTATCCCTTTAGCTCTGTTGTCATCGGTCTCTTTTAAGCAGACAATTAATCGATAGAAGATTGTTGGATTCTACAATACGTACAGTCACAGATTTCCAAAGATAGAAAAAGAAACTCGAGAAAGATTGTAAACGAGTCTGTGCACATATCGAGTGGTACAAATTGCGAAAGAATGAGTCGCGGTCGTAGTTATCGTCGACTTCCTCCTTAATCGACTGCCTTCCGGTTAGAAATTCATCGCTCCTCGTGTCCGACCAGTGAGAGCCGTTCACGATCTCCCGACTTCTTCTGACCGTGGCCGTTCCAATTCATAGACGACTTTGCCTACCACTACTTCCTGCTTTCTTCCATTTAACCGCATAATTTCATTCAACAATTTACTCTAAACTTAGTCGAGAAACACATTATTCTTCGTAACATCGTCCGCATATTACGACCTCTAATTTCTTTCCACTCTATGAGCATGATCAATTTATTTGCACATTTATGAAAGATGTTCTACTTTGATTAATTTATTAAATTATCTAAGCATTCCGTGCACGTATCATTAATGTCATTTATAATCTTCGATCTAATTTTATAATATCGGACATGTGGACATGAAATGTCCTAGGTGGCCCCGTTTTTTCACACCTTATCAATTTGTGTCTCTGAATATGTCAGTGAAAACGGAGTATAATTTTGAAAAATTTCTAAAGCAATAATCTTGAAGCTGTGTCTGCTGGAAATAGGACACAGCAAGAGAACAGATCCAGAACGGAGACCTTGAGACGAGATTTATTATATTCTCGTGAACGGTGAAACGAGAAAGGTGTAGTCGTAAAGGATCGGTAACTTTCATCGGTTACTATCGTCACGCGGTGTGTCCACTTTCTGCGTGAATCCTTTCAGATGCAAAGTCATTTTGCTAGCAGGAGAACACGTTTAGAAGAAATGGTGGCACAGTTTCCAGAAACTCGAGGTCGCTGACCCCTGTTAACTGTTTCTTACTCAAATATCATCGATTCACTTTTCATCGCCTCGAAATCCGGGATTCTTGGACTGATGCTCTCTTAGCCTTTCGACCGAACCCGTTCAAAGGAAAATGTCGAATGTAGAACCGTTATTCTCTTATTCCGACCTGGCACCGATAGTCTGTCGTCGGTGTTCCTGCGTCGTGTGACCTTAAAACAGAATTCTTCTGCTGGCCTCTGGCATTCGCTATGGAAACCCGTTACGAAACTCTGATATGGCGTACAATGAGCCCGTGTGAATTTTAAATAATAGAAGAAGAAATTTGTTGATTAGAACGATTCGGTTGAAGAGAGCTTGACACCACTCAAAAAATAAATTATTCCGTCAATTAAGCATAAGCGTTCTCACGATACTTTGCATACAATTTACATCCTTTCCCAGTGAAAAATCGTATTCTATTTTTTCGATATTTATATCGTTTACATTGTTGTTTTCAACAATCGTTGGCTCTGTGACCCATATCCAACTGGGCTTGTTATTGTTCAACGCGAGAAACTTCTTTTTTGTTACATTGTTGTCTGTGGTGTAACATTTATTGAAGAAATTCATCGAATTCGATTAGGATCTGTAACGGAACCGGATGCGCGGTACAAGCACATAATGCAATCATTGCGTGCTTCGTTTTTATCATCTATTTCCTCTACTTTTCGATCCAGAGTTAGAGCACGTTATGCGTATTCGACGCTTTCATTGGCTTAAAAGCGATAGCAATTAGCGACATATGTAATCCAAAGACAATGAAATGCTAGCTATAGGAAGATCTCGACTCGATTGAATCACTATTAAACGAGGAGTTAGATCGAACGATTATTAAATACGTTTTAGCTAAAGCATTCGATTGCGACATTAGCACGAATGCATACGCAGGTATACCATTACGGTTAATGAAGGTGAAGCAATATTCTGAAGCGATTTCGAAAACTTCGATCGTGTCATCCAAGAATCATTGACAGAAAATCAATTGCCTGTACTATTATATCTCGCGTGTATCAGTTTTAATAAAATATTAAGACAATTTAACTTTTTTTTCACTTACATCATTAATTCTAGAGGAATTCGTTTGATTCACGTCGACAGGATCCATATAACCAACCTGAATCTGATATTCTCGTATTTCGTAATCGTAACAAACATTTCCCGTGGATTACGCAATCTTGTCAATCCGATGGAGATACTTTTTACAGAACGCGCCTGCAAAAAGTAGAGCAAACGGTCCACGCGATACTTTTCTATAACGTTATATAATAATATTCAACTGATAATTTCTCTAAAAGATATCGCTTGGGTTTTTCTTTCACCTTTCCAGTATTCCAAGACAATAGACTATTATTTGGACATCTGTGCAGGATACACGGTTTCCAAGCTTCCTAACGATCCTCCTAGGTGTGTAATTGATGGATTTTGCAATGGCCACGTTGCTTTACAGACTCGAAGATCCCTCTAATGCTAACAATCACGTTCACGCGTATCTTTCTACCCATTCAACTCCTATTATTAAGCTGTTCAAACGAATAACAGTGGCTATTATTCTACTCTTCGCAAGATCCTTTCGCAAGGTAATTGCAGAGAAGTAGAAAATTGTGGTTCTTATTGAGGAAACCAAGTGACGATTTACTTGGGTCACTTTGAAAGTTTTAAGAACCGAGATTGCGACAGAAGGTTACTCGGAAAGCTTTCAAGTCGCAAAGTGACATGGATCTTGTATCTTGATGCGATTATAATAGAATAGAGTTTATTTGATTCATCAGTGACGTGGCATTTGCTAATTATCATTGACGAGGCGTAAAACGGTCAGGCTTGCTCGAAGGAACCTTGACCCAACACGAGTTAAATGTTTCATTTCTAATTTCTTGACATTGAATTTCCTTAAAAATGTTACCACGGTCCTAAATAGATGTCAGCTAGTTAGCTGGTCGACCAGGTCTGATTCCAGGTTGACTGATTTCCCTTTTCCATGCCTCTCCCACAAGAGAACGATCTTTTTTGCGAGACTGTCTGTCGACAAACAGATAAACTCAAGGAACTCGAACCGCTCTCCGATCTAGCTGTCCATTAACGGACGATTCCTCAGGGTTCTGGCTTTCTTTTTCCGAATTTCTCCCAACGCTGACTGGGAAATGTCTGCGACTCGAGTTTGCCTATCCGCCTCCGCCGATCTCTAAGCGAGATAATTGATCTGCGATCGACGAATAAAAAGAATTTCTCTTTCTTATCTCGTCCGACCCGCAATTCGTGCGCTGCTCCTCGACGACAGACTTTCTTCGGCCGATTTTCTTTGCTGTTTTACTTTTATCGGCTTCTACTCGCTCGGTCTTCGAAAAATCAAGCAATCCAAACGAGAGCTCGTTGATTATCCTTCTAAGAATGACTTTCTAATCGAACATCCCAAAGACAGACGGTGTTTCGAATCCTCTTCTGATTTACCGAGAATGTTTGTCCATCTGAATAACACGCGATCTTCGCATTGCGAATATTTTTCCGGTAGGAGATCTAGGTCGTAAGTTCAGGAGACGATCCGTAAACTCGTCGACCTGCAATCTCGAAGCGACAGGTGTCTGCGATTTTCCCTCATCTCGAGCTGGCGCATCAACATCGTCGAGCGAGCGACAATGTCACTCTAAACAAATATACACAAAGCATGTAGAACACGCTTTTCTTGTAAAGGTCGATACCTTGAATTCTAGCTGAACTTTACCCGTCTCGTCCACAATTCGTATCTAATGCGGCGTGTCGTAAAAAGAAGGTGAACGAGCAGAATTACTGAGAATTACTAAGAGAATTACGACACAATGTTTCACAATTGAACGCTTAACAGTATCCATGACCATATCAATGATATTCAGAGTTACCGATGACCTCCATGATACTAGACGACTTGGACTTCTCAAGTTTTTTTTTCAAAAACTATGCAAAGTAGGACGTCACTTTCTGGCAATCGTAGTTCAGATAAGTTTGCAACGTTAGAAAGGTACCAATGACGGATCATTAGTGTCCGAAAGGATCAAAGGTCCTTCGATCGTTCGATTGATGTTCTGCTAGAAGTTAATTACCGTCTCCAAGCTCGACACGTGTTCGACCCATCGATATCTATAAATCAAGTTAAACGTTGGGTACGTTTGCCTTTAGTTTTCTAATCCTTCAACCTAACGAATCGCAAGATCGACTAACTTTCCCTTCTCACGACTATCGGATCGATCGATAAGATCGAACAGGTTCCGATCTCCTGCTATTCAAACGAGCCTCGTTAACGTTTCGATCATTGGCTTTCTGGTTCGCGAAACCTGGTGGTCCCAATTTTTCTTCTTTTCTTCGTTACCACAGCACCGTGAGAAATGGACGAGCTTGTCGAGACTCGTCTCCGATGTCTTCCTGGTCCGTCAGGCCATCAGAAAAAATATAGCCTCGCGTTCCAGGAGATTGTTATTCAGGCGTTATGCTAATCATGGTGCAACGAGCCGAGGAAACCGTTGCAGAAGCTTCTGCGGGAATCTATCAGGCTAGTCTACGGTGCGTACAGTTACGGAGACACTGACACGTTTAGTTTAGGAGACTTTTGTTTTAAATTTATGTCCTGGCAATACACAGTTATAGGAGACTGTTATGAATATTTATGAGATTCATAAAGTAAACGGTGTGTTGGAAATTATTGCTGAAATTTTGGTTGCAACATCTTAACTACCCTCGGTTAGAAAAGGCCATTCTTAGGAAGAAGATAATTAATTCACTTTCGCAGGAGATCCGGCGGAGGCGCAAGAGTGGCCGACGCCTCTCGACGAGTCCGCGGACGAAAAGAACGATGCTGAAATCTTTCGAGCGGTCGTCGAATCCATGAGAGAATGGTCGTTGCACAAGAAATTGCACCAAAGGATCAAGAGAGAGGTGTCGAAGGTATGCTACGAAGATGTTGGCTGTTTCGAGGACACGGGGCCCTTCAGCTACTTGGAAATGCTCCCATCCCCACCCAAAGAAGTCGGCACCAGGTGCTCTATTATTCTATACCAATTGTCTCTTATCTTTTCTCTTCAAAAGAATCTCGTCTAATAAAATAGTTCGTTTGTACCGTTACAGATTTCTGGTATACGGTAGCAGGAAAGCGAGATCAATTCCGATGGAAGTTCCCGCCGATGATATAAACGATAACGCGCATCGTGCCATAGATCCTGATCTACCTACCAAAGTGATTGTACACGGTTTTGGATCGAGCTGCGATCACGTATGGGTTTACGAAATGAGGTCCGCGCTAATGACGGTGCACGAGTGTAATATAGGTTCGCAAGCAGAAAACGCTTATTAATTACGGTTCGAAGAATTTTACCTTAATTTGGAGTTGTCATTTTCAGTGTGCGTCGATTGGGGCCCAGGAAGCGCGGTTCCTAATTACGTGAGAGCGGCGGCCAACACTCGTTTGGTCGGCAGACAATTAGCGAAACTAATTAGAAGTATGAACGTACCTTTGGAGAAGGTTCACCTGATTGGATTCAGTCTGGGCGCTCACGTGGCTGGATTCGCTGGTGCCGAATTAGGAAACGTTTCCAGGATCACAGGTACTGGAACAAACAATACAATTGTCTATTAAAACATTTATAACGCTGAATACATTGCCGTGATACTTTCGTTCATCGGTGCAAGTGCACCTAATTGTTTTATTCGCTACCTGTTTTACTCGTGATGCAATCGGTGCACTCGAGTTGCATAACGTGTTACAGATACCTGCTGTGCGATGTCCTTCGAAACCCACACTCTGCTACAAGTAAAAGGGTAGATTTACTTTTCCAATTAAATGAAAATGTTTCTTGCGAAACGAGTACTCATGTTGAATTAATTAGGTTTCTTTTCAACATTCTCCTATGCTTGTCCACCTTGATTGAGCTTCGATTTACGAAATCGTAGAACTCGTTGCAGTGTATCAAGTAAATTAGGTCAGTTGCTGATTTAAGTACACACGTGCATCACTAAATTGCGTTGCATTTCTCAGCATTTTACTCGCTTGAATGCAACAAGCAATTCATAATTATACTTCGATCGTTATCTTGATCGGCGTTCGCTGGAAATTCTTGCTACACTATGATTATATTTTCTTCATTTTTCACGCATCAGTAGCTACTCGTGTTGAAGTTGAACTCGGTGTTCACGGTTCGAGAAATTTTCCTTTCTATTACGGTGATTGAACGCGATGCAAAAACAGCCGGCCCACGCGTTCGTTAATACACCCAAGTGTTAAATTGAAATATTATCATTGCAGGTTTGGATCCTGCGGGACCCCTGTTCGAATCCCAAGATCCAAGGGTTCGATTAGACAAAACGGATGCCAATTTCGTCGACGTGATTCATAGCAACGGCGAACAATTGTTGCTCGGTGGTCTGGGTTCCTGGCAACCAATGGGTGACGTAGATTTCTATCCCAACGGAGGAAGAATGCAAACAGGATGCTCCAATTTGTTCCTCGGCGCTGTATCGGACATCATCTGGTGTAAGTATATACCAGCTGTCAATTAAATCAATTGACAAATGCGTGTATCCCGTACGAGCAATCATCCTTCTTTCACCTTGTACCACAAACTTTGTCGTGTCTTGTACAGAAAGCAAAAAAGAAAGTGTCTCAAGGTTTTCACAACACGAGTCATTAGAGTTAAGTCTTTCGTGCTCTTATCACTGCTCGTTCACAAAAGCCAACTCTCAGAAGGTGTATAAATCAGATTAGAAAGTCTGCCACAATCGTGGCAATAGTATACTCGTTCGTTGTCCGGATAATGTTACCTTCTCCGCAACACGGATCGAATTCTTTATCCGAATGAAAGCGGGTCAACAGTGTCCCCTTCGCGGGACGTCGTCCAAACTTGCCGTTGAATATTCATATAAAAAACAAAGCGAGTACATTGAAAATTTGTCTGGTTAAAGCGAGCGCGGTGGAGGGCAGATCGTTGTGCAACCATCGGCGAGCGTACAAGCTCTTTACCGACTCGGTCAGCCCCAAGTGTCGTTTCCCAGCCTTTCCCTGCGAGCATGGATACGATGGTCTCCTACGAGGCGATTGTTTTCCCTGCGGAGGGAACGGTATGGGTAAACCGTGCGGGGACATGGGTTACTACAGCGACGAATCATCAGCCAGAGGTCAGCTGTACCTGGTAACCAGGGACGAAGAACCCTTCTGCGCTCATCAGTATCAGGTGAAGGTGTACAACAGTCGTCGCGAGAGACCCACTAGGAGTTACGGGAAATTACAAGTGACTCTGGTCGGAGATGGAACTTTCAACGACAGCTTTGCAATGACGCGGAAGGACGAGGAGCTTCTGGTAGGATCGATTCTTCAAAAGATCGTTGTACCGCATCCTGCGATTTCGAGTATGGAGGCTATCGAGGTTAGTCTTGGGTCAGAGTTCATTTCATACGTTTATAGGCTACTGTCTATCATTTTCGTCTATTACAGATCAAGTACACAGCGTACAGCGGGTGGATCTCTTCGGGCTTGGTGTCTTGGAGCATCGACAAGGTGGCCATAATCGACAGTTTCGGCAAAACCCTATCCATCTGCAGGAAAGGTTTAACCTTGGAATCCGGCAAACCCGTCTACCTTCCTCTGTTCCCTGGGGAATGCAATATACCCCTAGAATCCGACAACTCAACGTCCCCGGTACTGGGACGACTTCTCCAAGAGAAGCAAGGAGGCATCGGCCCGTTCACCAAAGAACAAAACTATGATCCGAAAGACAGCTTCTCTGTGGAAAGCTTCTCGAAAGACCGGACATCGTCGGTATCCTCCTCGAAAGGTTTAGGCCCCTTCACCAAGGAGCAAAATCTGCGATTAATCGAGCGAAAGGAAAGCTTCGAGGATATTGGTAGCCGTCGTAGTTCCACGAATCCTTGGAACATCGTCGACATATCAGCCGACGGAGACTCGAATTCTTTGGAAAACTCGGATGCCGAGAAAGGCAGGGGATTCTCCAGCTCCAACTTCTTCACCAAGCCTTCTTCCTCGGATCGTTCCATAGAATCGACCACAGAATTCCTGCCGGAGATCCGGGAACCAGTGCTGCAGGTGAACAAGAAGGAGACTGGAAGGTCCTTGAAGTTCTCCGAGATAACGGAGCCAATCCTGAGGCCGCGTTCCGCCAGACAGAACAGCAGGAACGAAGTTCACGTTCGGGATAAACAGGACGAGATACAAGAGACCTCTTCCACTACCAGATCGTTCACGGTTCAATTTCTGCCAGAGAGGCTCGCTGGAATCCTGGCGCAAGCCGAGAGGTACGCCAGGCAAACTCTTCTTCCTTTGATCTCACAGTACACTCCTAGTTTTATGACTGGAACACGCTACGAGGAGCCCAAGTACTTTCCACCCCTCGGTGAGATCACTTCGGAGGACTATCAGGATAAAGCGACTGTGAACCAGGACGAAGACGAAGCTGATGAATCCAACGAGACAGCCAAGAGCGAACATTCTTCGGAAAATGTTTCAGAGGAGGTATCTGCGATTGTTGAGGAAGTTTATCGGGACAATGGTGGATCAAACTCGTCGCGAGGTGAACCGAACAACGAATGGGTACCTATAGAGCCTTCCGTTACTGTTTCTTCTAGGAAGGATTACAATGTTTCTAGGTCCTTGAGTTGGGAACACGAGAGGTACAACTGGTCCACGCAGTCAGAGCCAGAAAGCAACGATTTCGATACCAGAATCGACGATTGGGTGCCCATCACGATTAAGAACGAAGTTAGAACTTCTCAATCATCGAACAATGCTTCGAACGATGTTCCAACCGGTGACAAGGATATGGAAATTAATGTTCAAGGAGAATCTGTGACAACTGAAGATTCTAAAAACGAATCTAACGATTCAGGGAAAGACGAGAGGAAGTTTATACCTTTGGTTGACCCGGAGGAGGAAGAATCAACCACGACAACCTCGAACGATGTTTCAGAAACTCGTTCGAGCACCTATTCTCATATCCAGAAGATTCCAAGACCGACCGGGACGAGAAACAATCAATCGAGTGGGAATTTAACGAGGAGGAGTATGGTCTTTCCTTACGCTTATGAGAAAAATAAGGATCCTAGGACTAGGTACATACCTTTGATTCCTGAAGAGGACTTGGGAAGGTCTCGTTGGTCCTTTGATAGGGAACGATGAACTTAAACTATTTTCTTAACGTAGAACTCGTGCGATCGTGATTGTAAATGTTTTTACGTGGTCTGCCGCCAAAATGATGAGATTAAGTTCTGGAAGTTAGATACTGACTGTCGATGATTCTTCGCTTTTACTTTCGTAATAATGATTTTTAAACAATCTTATAAGTTTTGAAGACAGACCATCGTCGAGTTTGTTGTTGAAACGTTGATTAATTTTATGCCAGTGCAGAATGTGCAGTTGTTCAGGATCATCTGTAACATTGATGAGAAAAAATGAACGGCTTTAACGAAGAAAGCTTTAATAATGTTTGGTAAAAATTGGAGCCTTAACTTTATTTTTGTATATAGGAATTTTTTTACAATATATATATATATATATAGCTTCGCTGAAATCTGTTATCTTTCACATTCGTTACCGTTATTAATTCTTAGTTATTAAAATTGTTATTATCATTATCATCATCATCATCTGTAATAGTTCCCCATCGCGTTTTATTTATGCCGAACGGACGATCATAAAAGTGAAATCCCACTTTTCTTTTTCTTTCTTTCTTTCTTTGTTTCTTTGTATATAATGACCCGATGATTCTCGAAGAATCGCGATAAATCGTTTCGCTGAAATAGTATTATAACTTTTTCTTCGTTAATTAATGTATGTACAGCTAGTGTCCATGTGAGCCACAATTAATCGTGGATCAGAAGGACGAGATAGTCAAAAATGTATGGAAGAGACGATTTTAAATGGACTTCTATCGTGTATCTATAATATACCTGTTGTTTTTACTTAAAATAAATAACCCTCTTTTTAAGAAGAAAAATGCGCCTTACAAGTTCGATTTTACGTACCTTTTTTTTTTTTGTTCTTTTTTTTTCTTTTTTAAATCACTTGCACTCTGTCATTCTCTCATTCACTCTCGTTCTGTGCCTTTCTGTCCTATCTCTCTCTCTCTCTCTTTCTGTTGACGATCATCTCTCACGAGCAACAAATTTACTTCAGGATATGCCCACTCCTGATATGTTCGCGTCTATTAAAAATAACTTGATTCGCAGTCCTCGCTTCAACGTTTCTTCAGGTACCGATTGACGCGTCGAAACAGAACGCATCGTTCCACGTTGGGTCGACTCGATGCAAAAGTATAAAACACAATTTTCGTTTCGATGGTCCAAAAAAAAAAAAAAAAAAATTGATTACACATCTTCGAAATTTCCTCTCCTTTCCACTCTTCGATTCCTTGGATACTGAAAATAAACAGGTACCCTCCAATTGAAAGATTTCATTAAAAATTTGATAGTCGAAATATACCTGTTGTCCAGTAAAAATTAGGATTCTTGCATTGATTCGACAGGACGAAAGAAAAATCTTGGTTTCTGGTCGACGGTGTATTCCGTTAGGCAAGGAAGAAGGGACTGCGAATGTAATGAAAAACTTACTACTTACATACATATTTAACAAACACGCAGTCTTATCAAGTAGAACCCGTGAACGAACTCTGACAAGTAAAAAGGTATAGTAGTAGCCTATTATATTATAATATACTCTAGTAGAAATTTGGTTCGACTTGTCCCGCAACCAGGGCGACGAAACGATTGACGCTTGAAAACGCAAACTAATTAATAGTTACCCATTATTTCTCGCCACGTGATTTACTACACATACACAGTATCAGTCCACAAACAAGAAACATTCAAAACGAAACTTTTTTTTAAATATAGCATCAGGTCTGTGAGATAATATAAACTAATTTGATTGTGTTAATTTAAGGTCGTAAGTAGAGACCTTTACCGATGTACCCATGGCCTAAGAGACGAACTAAAATAAAGCATTCAAGTTTTCGGAAGACTATTCGAATACATTCTGTCAATCGTCTCACAAAGATACTGTATTTGTGTAACACGGCATAACTAAAATGCAGTACGTACTGCTTGCCACATCGAGTTTGTTTCTCTATTCGTGTTCTAAGCTCGGAATAAACAAATTCAAATTACACAATGTATTTCATCAGACGTGGAACGTTAGAAAGCACAGGATGATTCTAACGAAGAATCATCCGTACATTTGTACCGTCGAAGAGACACAAACTCGAAGAAGCAGTCAATAAACATACGCTATTCCCAGTCATTCAGACATTCGCTCGTTCTATAGATAATCATGTACATTTTGAGTTCCGTTTGCCTTCTCTATTGAACGTTACAAACAACGTGTGCGAAACGTTCGTTTCATCTGAGCTCGCAATCGTTTTGTATTCTCCAACGACCATCGTTATCTTCCTATTTCTCACGCTTTGTTCACTTTCCTTGGAACACTTAAGTTATTAGCGCTACGACATACAAAAGATAAGGCCGCCACGATAATACACTGACTAGATCAGTTTCATTTGCTCTCTCTCTCTCTCTCTTTCTCTCTCTTTTTCTTCCTCCCGGTTTTCTCTTTTCTTCTCGAAAAATTTCGGACCATCGTCCATCGGTTTTCTATATCAACAAAAATATTCAGGACACGGTATCTCTCTGGTCAACAAAATATACTATGTGTCTCCATTCGTATCCTGAGCACTAATCTACGACACGCGTGACCACGTCACGCGCTGGGGAAGTATCCTTCGACCGGAAGTGTAATTAAAAACCTCGTATAAGCACAGCATAGGCCCTGATTAATTCTCTATAATATACGCAGGGTACTATTCAAATTCGTGGTACAAGGAAGAAAAATGATGCGCCGTCAATTCTCACGCGCCCTGCATACATTTCGCGAACGTACACGATGTCACAGAAAAGAAGACGGCAATGTCGTTTCGAGCATAACGTACAACAATAGTAGGATGTCGATCGCATCGAGAACCTAACGATCCAGTCTTTCCAACGATATGATTTTAAAACATATTCTTAAAATCGTGAAAAACTTTTAACACGTTCCCTGCCACACCGAATATCTTAATCATTCGCACGGTCCACGTTGTAGATAGTAATTTTTGCTTATTATATATACCTTACAATATTCATAAGATTGCAAAAATTATTGTTATTAACGTGCATACTGCGGAAAGCGGCAATATTTGTTTTAAACTGACAGATGATTTGGGGCAGAAAACGTATCAATCGAAATAATTTATTACTTTTCATTTTGTCCTCGAAATTTCATGATAAAATTAAAGGCGCCGTTTTCTCTCGCATCTGTGTCTCCGTTTCGACGTGCTTGTCTCTAGTACAAGAGTAACGCGTCTAAGGACGAACTAATTAAAGGGAGACGGATTTAAGGGTGCAACGTACTAAAAAACCGTATTTCTCGACGTGGCTGTATTCGTATCTCGATGTGTATCGTCGTCAACGATGATCGGTAAAATGTCGGTTTGACATGGATAAGGACGGAGGTGGCTAACTAGGAACTGCGAGGCACTGCAAAAGGTAAGAACACGAGCAGCGTTTCTCTACTGGCATTCGTTTGCCGCAGTCTCACGAAATTAAACGTGTTTTATTGCTTCTGTCTATCCTTCTGAAACGTTACATCTTTCTCCTTTAACCCTTTCTCTACGGCGAAGCTGATTAAAAAGTGTTATCATTTGTCTGTTTGGAAGAAGTAATCGATGGCATCGAAAATTTGATTGATTGGTAAAAATGTGGCCATAGGACTATCACTATAGTAAGCTTTGATGCATAACAAACTATTACTATAGCAGCCTTTCGTACAACGCGATCATCTCTACGAATGGACACTATACGTAGCAATAGTTTTCACAGACTATCACTATAGTAGCCATTCGTTCAATGCGATATTCTCTACGAATGGTCACTAAAGTGCTTTTCGTACGTCGAATTCATTGAGAAATTCTACAAAATACTACTGCAATGGCTTTTTGTATCGAAAGGGTTAAACCAAGGAAAAATATCCTGTTCGCGAAATACTATTAACGTACCTGGCATTATCTATAACGAAAGGATCTTGTACAATTTATCGGGGCTTCCCGTCGCATCGGGTACATGGTTTTTAAATACGGTGCAGCAACGTAGCGTTGAAAGGACGAACGATCGTCGCGCGTAAAAAGAACTTCCTGTCACGCTGACAGCTTCAACGAGCATAGTGTCCTATTGGATCAATAATGTATGTAGATTATCAAAAAACATCACAGTCGGGTTACTAGATTTTAGAGAAGCGTCTGCTGAATTCGTACTCGGTTATACTTCCACTGAACCTTGCTTCTCTTCAAGTTCGACGAAAGTATAGTCGTTATTCGATTACTTTCAGTCCTTCTTTAACACGCGACTGAATCGTTCGACGCGATTTTCCTCTGCAACTGAATAGACATTTTTCATATTCACTTTTTTTCCTTCATGGAACGACTTGAAGCGGTTCTTTCCGTAGGCGCCTCCGAGCGAACCATAAACACAGAGTGTTTCGAAGTTAAACAATCAAATTTCACCGTTGTATTTTATTGAAAATTTGAAAGAAAAGAGAAGAGTTCCATAATATTTCGAGTTATTTGAAATTCTTCCTTTGTTTAACCTCGATCTTTATACCCTCGAAGTTTGATCGTTCAATTTTCGAACACCCTGTATATCATCATGAAAATAAAAAAAAAAAAAAACTCTAAAGGAACGACTTCTACGACGCCCAAGTGACGGTGTATCACTTTTTGTCGAACAGGGGTAATTTGCTCCTGACGGCACCCTCGCAAACGACTAATCTCTGCGCGGCCGAGATGCTGCACAAAGGAACCGAACCCTCTAAGCTTGCTTTCAACAAGGTTAACCTAGCGGAACCGACATCGTGATCGGCGAATCGCAAGCTGCCGGCTTGCTTCCTCTCGAAATACTCGACGATTTTAGAAATGGTTTTACTGGAAGACCCGATGCCGCCTAACCTGTCCTCCCAACAGGAGTCACCGCCACCCAAACTAGCTATGTCCTCGGACGAGTCAGTGTATATGGAGCTAGTTCTGTGATCGTCCAACAGAAATAGACTACTCGCTGCTGAACTGCTTAGAGTCGAGGTGTGTCGACGATTAGGAGGCTCGGGGCTGAGATCCTCTCCGACGCAGCTCCAGAAGCCTGACTCGCAGCTACCACGCCTTCTGGGCTCCCAACCATCGCGGAACAGCGGATGAGTAAATAAACTGGCTGCGCCTACTTTCGTAGCCACCTGGAAATCGATCAAAAAATACCACGAGTATGATTTCTGCTAACTAGCCCAACACTTTACTCGTGTCGTGTATCGTTAAACCTTCGAATTGAAAATAATTTTAACTGAAAAAATAAGTGTTAGCCTTACGTGAAGGAATTTGTGTGAATCAGTGTAAATCATCCTCGTTCAAAGAAACAACTCTAAACCTCCTCTCGATGTCTATCGCTCTCTTTCTCCCACAAAAGTTGCATAAAAAGCTTTTCTCTCGTACCTTTCTCTCCCACTTCTTCCTGGCAGTCGGACTGCTCGGCTCGGAGCTCGGCTTCTTCCTGTCCAAGATCTTCGCGATACTGTCGTTCTGGGCAGGTTTGAACTTGGCGATAGCATCGGTAACACTCGGTCTGACGTCTTCCAACGACGGTAGCTCCAAGCAGCTGGAGAACAAGTCACCGAGGATCTTCTTGACGCCACCCAACGCGTGGAACGGATTCGCCGTCATTGGCCTGTAATGCGGGTCCCTTCTGCTCGCCAATTCCGCTACCCTCCTAGCGGAATGACATCTCGCCTTGTCCGATGGTGTCGCGTTATCGCAACCTCTCGCATCCGCCGATTGACTCCTGAGACGAGCAGTCTTACGTTTCATGGAACGTCCCTCCCGAGTGATCTCATCCATGCTCGACATCAGAGTCGGGTCCACGGATTGACGTTTACAGATATTGTTCTTCGATTCATCCTCGTAATTGCTGATCATGTTGTCCAGACTGGTGGTGATCTCTGAGAAGGTTGGCCTCGATTTCGGCTCGTACTGAAACAAAAAGAATCTCTTTTCTTAGCCTCTCCTTGATAATTTACACCTAATCAACCGAAATCTGAAGTGAAAATGCGTAATCGACGGAATCTGCGGTAAATTTCCATCCTTACTCACCGTGCAACAATTGAAGGCGAGTTGGAGGAAGGCTGGTGGTGGATCAGCTGCCGCGCAAATCTCTGCCACGGCCAGGTAATCGAGGCCAAAGTTATCTGACCGTGGCAGAACGTCCGGATCGGCCGGCACGCGGCCGATCAGCTCGCAGACCACGATACCGAACGAGAAAACGTCCGACCTGTGATCGTACCATTGACCCTTCAGGCATTCAGGCGACATCCAATACGGACTGCCCACTGTGCTCAGCCTGTATCCCGAACTAGGATCCGGAATCTTAGCTGCCAGTCCAAAATCACCCACCACCGCGGTCATCTCGGACGTATTCTCATCTTTCTTGATCAGTACGTTCTTCGAGGTGAGATCGCGATGGAACAGGCCACGACTGTGGAGATAGGCCATCCCCCGTGATACGTCCCTCGCTAATTTCATCCTGATCAGGTGCGGAAGAGGCGTGTGCCTCGCCATGATCAGCTGTTCCAAACTACCACCGTTTATGTACTCCGTTAGGGCATGCAGCTGGCCCTCGTGCACGCACACGCCCATAAACCTGGAAGCAAAGAAGCTAGTGTCTTCATCAACAGACAGAACTTACGTAGCAACATAATCGTTTCCCCCGTGGTATAATTATTAACGTCGTCGTTATTATTCTAATTACTGCGTGAGATGTTCCTTTTTCTTCTGTCCGCTATTCCCAAGACCTTTTTGCGAAACAAATTGCACCGCATAATTGAGGAAAGAGTTGAAGAATTCCCTTTAAAGGTATTCTTCTTGAAAATCGGTCTTCGTAATTGTTGCAACTGAATTTTTGGGAAACGAGACTTCGACGAGTGCTGCCACCTTCGTTCGTCCTTCCGTAAGGAAGCAAAGACCAAGAGAAGAAGGTGAAACTTTTCTGCTCGACGAGGTTTAATTGCCAAGCAAGTCGCGAACGATTCTCTTTGCCAATCAACGCACGAACCAATGAGTTGTTTCTGTCGTTACTCATCTTTTCCTCTAAAGGTCGTAACTGGTGATGGGCATTCAATACCCTGTCTTTCAAAAGTTTATACCTCACCAAACTACTAATTTCTTTCCATCGTAATTCCGAATGGAAACTTTTAGATTTTATTACTTGGAAAAAAATTCTCAGAATGTTACGAGCTGTATCGAATTAATCGCAACAACGAGCGGAAGTGAATAATCCCAAGACCTTAATATCTTCGCGATGAATTGCCGGCCAATTTACCCTTATCACCGGTTATCGTAATATCCTTGATACGAGAATCAAAATTTTACAACACCGTTTACAGTATCGTGAGACCATCCACGCGACTCGATTCGCATGATCGCGTTTTCTTATCAGAATTCGTTCCTGCGACAAACAACAATAAACATTGCCGTATTATTGAAACGATGGTATCTTTGGTATTCTCGGTGTATCAATCAGTCCCATTCATTCATCTCTACCGAAAGGAAGTAGATACACCTGGGATGGTCTATTGTTCCAACAATTACGAAATTCATCGGTCACAATTGGCTTTATTCCACAGGCATAACAGATGACGATATCCTGTTTCTTTTTCTTCGGACCATCTGACTCATTCGATCGCGAAAGAGACGCGTCCCGAGTGTCCGCGGTTTTCGCAGCCTTCAACGAGAGAAATGCCAGAAATAAGATCCGCTGGCCACGCGGGATAAACACACACAGCCGAATCTGGGCCAAGCCGTTTATATCGTTGGAATGCGTTGTCGCTGCGGATGCACCAGCAGCAGCAGCAGCATCGGTGTCTAGCTACTACCGAGGATCGTCGCGACGCTGCACGTTGCCATTATGTCATAACTCGTAACGTTGCAAACCGCGATACGACTTTTGGCATTAGCTCGACGAGCAACCGGTTGCGACAACCGAGAATACCGTAAGCGAAGAGCAAGAAATCCACCGCTCCAGTAGATGATCTCTCCTCGAATACTCCAAATTTCAACATCAGCAATCGATTTCCAATGATTGCAGCTGAAGGTTAATGAAATAATCGACATTTTCTATCGTATCCTTGGGAAAAGGGTTGAGTTTATTAAACCATCCAATCGACTCTGCCCACCTATCACCGATACGTTTATTCCCCTCGAAAGCCAATATATTCGAAAATACCTGCTGCCTACATGCATTTCATTTATTCGCGGATGAATTCGAGCTGGTCGACAGAAGACAATAAAAATAAAAACTTTCAGCCCTAGATTGCTTCCACTCGCTTCCATCTCTCGATGTATTATTGAACCAGTTTCTATTTTCATCCACGATCCCTGTGACAACGACTGTTCTGCTTTTAAATGAAAAGTCGACGACACAAGAACGATCCACACACGTGACTGAAAGCACGCTCGATGGACCGTTTCGAGGTTCGATTTAATCAGAATTAGATTGATAGATTCAAGGCTGGAAACTAAGAAATCGCGGTACGTACGCGAAAGTTATTGTTTCTCGGATTTCACCGGCGTCAAAGTTGATCGCGCCTCAAGGTAGTAGAAATAAAATGACAGACTTTGGAATTCGTCTTAAAACTCACCTCAATATGTTCGGATGGCTTAGCTTGTTCATCAATTGAACCTCCTTCAACATGTTCGGCCTGTTCGCTGGCAGCTGGTTCATCTTCAGGACCATCACCTGACTCGTCACTTTATGTGTAACCTAGAAAATAGAAACACCAGATGTTGAAACGACAATTTTCCACGCTGTTCAGCCGCGAACCGCTACATATTCGATTCCCGCAATTTCTACGATTATTGGACCAATCCCCTCGAGTTATCATACGAGATATTAATTCAAAATTATATACCGCAAATGCTACTTTGTGATCCAGTTAGACTTTCTAAGCAAATACAAATTGATAGATCCTATCCATTTCATCTATAAGTGGTAAATAAAAGTAAAAAAGGAACACATCTGATGTCCTCTGAAACGACCTAGAATATCCTTATTGTAAAAATCAGTTTAGAAAGTCGGATGTCCGAGTGGAAGAAGAAACCGACTCGAGTACAACGTTGAAATTGTCTAGCAAAAAGATCAGCCTTTTCGTCCAGGCATAATCAAGTTGAATTAATGATTGTTCGAAAGCTCGAATGAACGTTTTCAGATGAAACTTTCTCGCGTTACAATCGCGTTTCTACATCGGGAAGCTTATCTGAATGCAAATTACAGCGTAATTAAGTGTTCCCGTGAATGATGACGCGAGACATCATCCTGTTTGGTTGTTTCGATCGTACGACGATATCTGAACGTTTCACGTTTTCACAGCTCGAAAGGCGCGTGAGAGAACATGCCTCGTTTCTCACGAAACAGGAACGTATTAATTCGCGACACAATCGCGTACGCGAACGTCCTTTCAGACTCCCCGGTGCATACCTATTCCAACGAACCCTTTCGAACCGCCGAGTGCTTTCGAAACAGGAACTCGACGATATTTCAGCTTGTCTAATTTTAATTATAGGACGCGTTATGCCGCTCTGCTTTTCTCGTTCGTCCTGGATCGGGCCAGTTCTCGCGAGAATCCTAAATGTTTCGGTAACGGTACGAGCTTCACGCCGTTGCAGATGCAACGAGCGTGTTCTACGAGTTACGGAAGCGCACGGTCGGCCGAGAATTCGTAAAAGTGCGAGACGATGCGGACGCGACCGTACCGTTACGCGAGCAACTCACTGAAAATTAAAAATGAAAACCCGCGGGAGAATTTATCCGTATTCGAAACGATTCATTACGGATAACATCGTCGATTAAATTTTTTTATTTGCTGTAAAAAAAAAAAAACATAATCTGTGGTATTTTTATGTCATCGAATCGCGTCGGACTTTCCATATTTCAGAATTCAACATTCTCTATAATAATTAGTAGATAAGATATGCAGAGTTTAATCTTCGTTAATGACGCTCCTGGTGTTGTTGAAAATTTCTTCATAGAAACTTTTACTTTCATGTTCTTTCACTCTTTTCATTATCTATCCGGCACGCACACTCTCGTCGGGATCGTTTTATTGCCTCGTGTGAATCGAACGGTTCGTATCCGTGAATAACCGAATAAATGAATAAATTCATGAGCGAGCCTCTAAATTAACTGCGAACATTCGATGCATCGTTCATAACACGCTCGAGATAAACAGGCATTTCCTTGTTAAGACTGGGACGTGCCTTTTATTCGAAATCGCAGAGGGTGTCTTCGTTAAGGGTAGAATTGATCTTAAATTTCATTTAGCAAGATGGAAAAGTAGGGAGAAATTCGAACAAGGGAAAAGGAAGACGTGGGTTGTAGCGAGGTGGAAATTCCACGGGTTAAAAAGTCGAGAATATCCAAAGGGAATTTGGCCAGGATTCCTTGGCAGTGGCTGGCTTAGTTGGAGCTTGGCCAAGCGATGACGAATACGCGTCGGAGTCGACGGGTAAACAGAGCGCTTGCAAATCGAGCGTTTCGTAAAAAAAAAAAAAAAAAAGAAAATAAAAAAGAAGGAAAGGAGAAAGTGATGCTAAGTCGATCAGCAGTTCTCGTTTGTCGTCGTAAAAAAATGGGACTGTTGCACTTTGAACGACTCCATCGAACGCGCTCCACCCCCTATCCTCTTTCTTTTAATCCATTTAATGGAGAGTACTAGGGTTGTTTTCCCAATGACCACTTCCGACCGCGATGAAACTCTGATACAAAATAAAACACGGAAAAATACTTGACCCGTATTTTTTAATTGGCAATCATCTATATCGAAGGACCCTTTTTCGACTGTGAGTAGATATTAATATATTGAAAAATTCTACAACGTTGGAATCTTATGTCAAATAAATTATCGAGAAATCGAAATAATTTGCTTAGAACATTTAGAAAAAGCAGTCTTTAATGCCTATTATCTTAGTTAGAAAACTCGTGTCGAATCAATTCTCAAGGTACGTTACGAAATCAAAACGTCTTTTTTTAGTTCCAGTTGCTTGCGAATACATTTTGCACAATTCGCAGGTAGTTCACGTGTTACCGGTACGAATACGAAATGTTGCTTGTACTGGTTAAAAATCCACGAAAAGGAAGTGGTTTATAGCGGAAGCAAATTAATATACACGTTTCTCAATTTTAGTGCAACTTTTATGCTTCTACTTCTCCTTCTCCTTATTCCCTTCACCGTTTCTGTCACACTCTACTGATTTACACCTTACTGTTTTAATTCGTTAATATATTATAACACGACGTCGGATAAGCCAAGCGCCAGTTTACGTAGTCCACGCCAACGGCTTTTTCGAACACGTCAAGCCTTGTTAAATCTATTTTAAGTAGCAGAAACTGAAAATTGAAATGAATCGGTTCTACTCTAAAAGAGTCGTACAACACATTGAGAAAATACCGTAAAATCTTTTTATAAATTTCAGAATGAAAATTTAAACGAAACTGGGCCAAGCGAATATACCTGGCTCTTGATAACATTTAAGACAAATTTAGAACGAATTTAGATTACCTGAAAACGTAATCTTTACTGCGGGTTATATAATGCCCTTGGAGAACAACAAAGTTACGAGTTTCGTTACAAAGCATGATTTAAGGAGCTCTTCATTCCGTCAACTCGTGTCGTACTTTGGCAAACAAACGGTGTATTGAATTCTTCAAGCATCTTCGTCTCTCGGGCTGAGAAAAAACGAAATTATGCCAAGCAGTTTTCACCCGTTGGCCGAGAACGAGCTCGAGCTAAAACACTTGTCTTTCAAGCTGTGCGAAAGTCGTAGGATGGCAAATAATTAGGAGCGACTGATTCATTTAAATAATTCTCACTGTCTGCGTGGAATCGTCCTTGCGTGTTCTCCACGCATTCGAGCACATTGTTAGCGGACGTGCGCGGAGAAAGCACGCGGTGATTATATTGTATCGCGAGTGATTAATGCCTTCAGCCTTTCCACACGCTCCGACACCGTGAACGGTGAACCTTTGAACACCAAATGAGATTTCTGCTCTTCCGTTCACCTTTCGATTTTTCGTATTATTCGCGATACAAGCTGAACCGATCGATCAATCGATTTTCTACTGACCCATTTTCATCTTTTCTACCTTGATGTCTATTGAGAAGCACGCTGAGAAGAAGAAGAAATTTCTTTGAACGAAACAACCGACCTTCCGGACGGATTCCTCGGTGTCTACAGAGAAGCACGGCGTAAGCAGCGAGTTTACCGAGTTCACTGAACCTAGCGTTTCAAAAGAAAAAAATAGAAAGTCTAAAGATTAAAGGGTAGAATAGAAGGGGTGGCTAAGATTTCGCCGATTCAAAGGCTGTCGAGGGAAAAAGCTGCTCTCTGTAGGGTCTCTATCAAACGGCACAGAGCTCCATTAACGCTTCTGTCGATGAAGAAAGAACGATTTCAGGGAGATGTACCCTCTTCTTTTGACGCGGCTAACGGGAGGGTAAAAGGAGTCAATGATTTCGCGCTTAACGTCCTAATTGTTCGTCCGATTTAATAAGTCTCGCGATGAAATTGGTTCCCCGATAAGATAACCCAAAGCCGGATCGCGGGTTTACAAAGCAATTAAGGCCGTCACGGTAATTAAAGGGCAAGCGTAGACTTTACAAGCCTGGTTTTATTCAAACCGACGAGTTGTAAAGCGAGAGACCAGGAAAGGTCAACCGTATCTATTTGTAACTGGACCAGATCATTCGCGGGAACGAGAAATGAGCGATGTAACACCGTTGGTTATTTTTGCAACCTCTTAATCGCTCCAATTATCAAGCGCGAATTAAAAATAAATTCCAACACCGTAAATGTTTCGTGCAATCAAAGCTTCTTCTCTTTAATTACCTTAACGAAATAACTGGAAACATTGTAATATCAAATTCAACAGAAATTCGGCGCGTTTTTTAAGCAGAATCTCTCTCTGTTGAAACAGGTAACGATTTGTCAACTTTCACGCTCTGCAGACAGCAAACGGAATAACGAAGAAAATCACGGAATTCCCGAGTAGATATAATTAAAATCCACGCACCAATTAAAACAGGGAGTCGAGTGTGGGCTTTTGAAAGTTCAAAGTTTACGTCAGCGATGGGCGAGACGAGGTTTCAGCAAAAGTCAATTGCGAGAGCAGAGGGTTCGTCCACGTGTATCGTCACCCTCTATCATCCCATACAGGTTCGCTGCATCCTCGTTATTTTTATCGTCCCAACAACACTTTCGATTATTCTCTATGAACTATGATAGGGCTTGGATAACTTGTGCCATTTGGTCCTTAATTGCTCACTGAGCAGAGCTTAGAGGCAGCGATGAAAATATATTCCTAGGGAAAATAATGATGTAGGAAAAAGAGGAATTACTTTTCCTCGGCGAATACTCACAAAGTTTGACCAAATCCCTTTTTAAAACCCTCTATAATTAAGCGCGTACGGTTTTTCGACCCAGTTTCAAAGGTTTTCCCTGAAGCTTAAGTTTCACATGGCAGTCAGCATGATTCGAACAAAATCAACAGACCGATTCGTTTTAACTCGCTTCAAAGAAAGCCACGGTTCTATTAAGAGCTATTTACCAATTAAGAACGTTCCTCGAAGGCCGTGCCTTGAAAGGCTTTACAAGTTCACAGGTTTTTTCTCTTCTTTACCTTCGCCACCGAGACGTATTCAGCTTTCGTACCGAACTGTATGATGATCAATCAACAGCGTCGATTACGAGTTATCGCGAGTACAACTG